GGTGGCGCGAATCGAGACGGAAATGTAGCTGGAATGCGAAAGGTTGAGTTATAGATCGGTAAAAGGGAAGGGTGACGCCGGAAAACCGTCTCCTCGGTTCCGTTTCACCCCCTTTTTTTTTTTTCTCTCTCCTTGTGTGGTTTGAGTTTTTGCTCTCCACCTTCTCTTTCCCGCTTACCCTCCCCACCCCTACTACTAACACTAACACAAAGACACGATTTAATTCCGACACTGGCACACGGAGACACGCGAGTCGCGAGATCAATGCGAAGAAATAGGGACGCGAGGCTGGGACGCTCGATTGCGACACACACATATATACACACAGAAAAATAATACACCCACGCGTACACACATTGGCCGTACAAGACCCCGCGTGGCCTGCATGAAACTAGCTACTTGTCAATCTCCGCAGAAGAAGATTGGGAACGCGAATTGGAAGCGGAGCTGAAGGATTACGAGGTTGTTGTAACCGGAAGCGAGACGAAGAATGGCGTCGCAACCACCAAAGACACCGACGCGAATAAAGACGATTGGGAGAAGCAGATCGACGAGTTACTGGCCAACGAGGAAGACGAGGACCTCAAGTGAGCCGAAGGGATCCTCTTTGTGACCGGATACAGAGAAGATCTCGTCGCGTTTCAATTGAGATCCTGCCAGGAGAGATTCGGCTTCTTCTTTTCTTCCATCGATCTTCCTCCGGTTTTCTAAAAAAAAAAAAAGGAAAACCGAAAGAAAGAATCTTGCTCTGTCTCTCTTTTCGAAAAATCCTTATTTTTAATTGGGTAATTAGTGTTCGGGACTTGACTGTTTAATTTAATAATGATGGAGAGAGAAAGGAACGATGATTGTTGTTGATAGAAGAGGTAGAAGATGGAAGGGGAGGAAGGAGGGTTGGAAGAGGAAAACTTGTTTCCTCTTCTTACGGGGGTGTGTTTTCTCTCGACAGCGTGTACGTTTACGATCCTCGAGCACGATGAAGACGATAGGGTTACCCGAGGGTGATGGGTTAATTATTTTTTCGACGATCTAGCTTCTCCGTCGATTCCATCCATCGATGATCCATAGACGGTGGACGGGTGTGCACACGGGACACGATTCTATGTACTTGAACGCCACACTTATGTCAATTGTTAGACGAACTCGCCTTCGATTACTACACGGGCGAATGTGTAAGATTTCTTCATGCATTTTCTCGTTTGTAATATTGATCGTTAAACATATTTAAAAAAAAAAGAAGATAAATCAATGTACATCTTAATGTTTACTCGAAATGCACTGTGCTAAGAAATATATATGTGTATCTCGTGTGAATAATAAATTAAATACAATTGAATATTCTTCATCGGGTTCGAAGGATCGAGGACTATCCAGGATCACACATTTTACACTGCCGTGTGCCGAAGGACACCGTTTCGAACGGATCGACGAATCAGCTTCGTTTTTTTTTTAATTTTATCAAATTGACACGTTTAATGCCATAGTGGAAAAAGTCGCTTCATTTTTTAATTATTTACTTTGAATTAAAATTGGGAAAAAATTTTTCTGCAAATAGCTAATTTTTAAATTTGCAGTTTTAGGTTATTAATATAGTAATACTTATTCCTTTTTTTTAAAATTATTTAAAGCATCGATCATAGGTGCCTTTAATCAGTGTAATAATTAATTTCCATTAGCATACTAATTGTATTATTAGTATAACGCTAACGTCACCCAAACTTGCCCCTAATTATCCAATTACGCAAAATTTGAGGCGTCCATCACCACCATGGCAATCAACGTGTTAATCTATCGGAGATCAAGCATCCTACAACGATCCTTTATCGTTATTCGTCGATCGTGGATATTGCATGCCAAAGATGAATTCAATTCGATTAAACATACTCTGCCTCCGTTAATTGTACCTCGTGTACGAAAGAAAAATCGTTGGCTAACATGGATTCAGAGCATATATTAAGGTTATGTTGGCGAGAGTCTACTTGTTCCATTAAATTGATTGTTAATTACGCTGACGTTGAGTATATGTTTAATATTTAAACTACTGTGTCCACGTGAAAGCAAATAGAAGATTCTAGAAAGAGGAAAGAATGATTTTCCGCGCTGTACCGTCCAACGGAAATCTTCTCGAGTCTAAACGAGACCGGGATAAAAATTTCTGGACAGAAATGATAGCGCTATTTAACATCGAGATTAAAGAGATCAGGTTTTCACGTGGACCAATCTCGATCGACGAGAAAAAGAGAATTTTCGTTACCAACCATGAACAATGGAACATGTGATTCGTAGGAAGAAAAGGAAGGCTGTAAAAGGAAATCCTTGCACTTCCCGTCGAGACGTTCGTTTTGCGTGCGCCGCTATGTTGAGTCCAGATCTTTCGTCAATTCTTCCCCAGAGATTTTCTATATTCTCTCTATCGTGCATCGACCGACTGATTCGATGTATGGTGAAAAAAAAAAACTCACTAGCCTAGAGGACTCCCTGATCCTTTAACCCTTTCGCTGCTACAGGCAACTATAGTCGCCCAAAGGGTGTAAATTTTCGAATAACAATTGAGTATTACCTAAAAAACACTTGCGGTTTAAAAAACAATTTAATATGGAAGCGTTTTGTATCGACGATGGCTGTAGCGGAAGGGTTAAGGGTAGAGATGAAAAAAAAAAAAAGAAAGACTTAAAATTCTGAGCTCAACGCTGGTTCACCGCGTGCGCGTGTTTCATTCAACTCGCTGCGAGGTTTTTTCATTCGCGCTAGTCGTTAGGTCATATATGGATACGTATACTGTATTAAATGTATATTAATGTTAAGGTGTGTAATTAATTCGGGCCTAAGTTACGTCGAAGTTCCACAGAGTCGATAATCGTGAAATTTCATTAACACGAAGCTCCCCCCTTCCCCCCTCAGAGTAAGTGATATAATTCCACTATCTAGCCATTTTTTTTTTTTTTTTTTCGTTAAAACGAATCTGTTGGGTGTTATACGTTTATATTCTATTGATTCCTTGTTATATATTTCCCTCTTGGCACTGACCGAGAGGTTAGAAAACGTACATTATATATCGCGACGAGGAGAGCCCTTCATCTTTTGAATGGGCGAAACCGATGGATCAGGAAAGTAAATTTATGTAAGACTTGATAAGCGAACGTCTTTCCCTCTGTAATAAAAAAAAAAGAAAAAAAAGAAAAAAAATTAAACGTGAACAGATACACACACACACACACATACACACACACTTCAATGGCCAACAAAAGAAAAAGAGAAAAAAAAATGAACAGAAAACAGATTTTTCATGGTGTACTTCGGCAGCCCCTCTTATTTCAAAACAACTCTGTGAATTGTGTATTAAAAAAAAAGAACAAGCTATCCTATGGTACAGTGCATTCAATCGTAAGAATGAACATACATCCGATACGTATATATATATATATACACACATAAATAAATATACATGATATACATATGAAAATAAATAAATAAAAAAATATATATATATGTTGTTGACTCCATTGAAAGTATGATAATATATTATGAATATTATTGAGAGTATAAGGAGATGAAGCATTAATTACGGAATTATTTAAGAGAATAATTAATATAAGTGCGGAATGTAAACAATAAAGGTCGTGTACCTCGTGAGAAATAAACTGACAACAAAAAAATATAATATAGACTGATACGTGTTTACCCGATAATCTTTTCCTCTCGATATATTAATGCTTTTTATGTATAGAAAAAAAAAATAAAGTATTGGCCTGAAGTTAAGGTGGACTACCAAAATTTCTCTTGAATATATATTCATAATATACAGGATGGCACAACTGGAAAGGGGATGATTCTACGTGAAAAAGTAAGTCAAAAGTGTAAAACGACATTTTTTCGGAAGAGGCTTTATTTTTGAATAAATCGATGTTGAAAATTTATCAAAATTTTCGTATCTTGAAAATGCGCCGCCATAACGACGCGTGTGGGGATAAGCCTGCGCAGAACCCACTCAGCTAGAGTGGGGCTAGAGACAAGCACGAAGCTAGCGCCATGTTATATTCGCTCCGACATTCAAGTCGAAGCGGCCTGCTGTGAGAAGGCGAGAATAAAGATCTCTGATATACACAGTTAACTAATTGTAAGGGCGGTATTTACAGTCGCAACTTATTTCTAAGTTGGTCTTAAGCATAAACTTAAGACATCGGTTAGATTCACAGTCGCCGAATAAGCAACGTCTTAAGTATCAGCTCGATCGCTCGTTTCAGCCAGCTTACTGTTCAACTTTTCTTATTTTACCCCGCGTTATGAAATGAACCGAGCAAATTCAGGTGTAAAAAGCAAGAACGAGAAGAGGAAGAAAAAGGAGAGGGAAGAAATGAAGACGATGAAAGGGGTACGATTGCAAAAGGGGTTGAGAGAAATGTAAATGCTTGTCGGTGTAGATTCACAGTCAATGCTTAAGAAAGTCTTAAGCTCTTATGAATTCATAGTCGAATAAGTCCGCCTTATTTGTAGAAAACGAGTTCTTATTTGGCTGCATTGAAGTTATGTTTTTAAGTCGACTTAAGGACTTAAGCATGCGTTTGAAGGTGGTATTGTGCAGCGTTGAACAATTTATTTTGATTAATTGTAGTAAATTATTTTTAAAAAAGTACAAAATGGAGTTGGACTTTGCGGATATCGATGATACCAAGGACATTGATCACTCTGACTCAATTCGGGTGCCTGACACCCACACGCGTTTTACAAGTGGCGCTGCCTGTCTTCACCGGAAGTCGTAGATCTATAATTTGGGCAATCAATAAAAGAACAAGATATTTTAAAAAACTATATATTTTAATACGAAGTATATAATTGAAAAGTACAAAATTCCATTATTTACTCTGATAATACGCCTTATGATATAGAACATTAACGTTGTATTAGAAATATCACAAAAAAGGCACGACCAACTTAATAACATTATACTTAGTAAACGCTATTAGTTGGCACTGTGATGATTTCTTGTTTCTTTTCTTCAGTTTTATTTCATAATTTAATTTTAAACGATACGTTTTATTTACACATTCTTTCGCTTACTCCTTAAATTGCGTGTTTTCGTAGTTGGCGTGATTATTACTGTACTCTAAAATGTATAAAAATATGTATATGTACTCTATCAAATATTAATTGAAATTTAAAAAATTTACCTCCAATGGCTCGATATCGTGAAAAGATTCATCTCCTTTTATGTACAGCTTCTTTTTACGAGTACTTCTCTTTTTCTCTGAAAGTGTTTCCACCTGTGGTGGGGGTGGTAAAATAGTACGTTTCGTGCTTCGTCTAAAACATCAAAATAACATGTTTCAATCTGTCATTTCGTTTATAAAACTTAAATAATTTTTATGTAATTTACTTAGAATCAGAAGTTGAAAGGTCGATCGTTGGAATGTCATGATTATCCACTTTTGACGTGGGGGTGAATTTTTTAGGTGGTCGTCGAGTTCGACGCTCTTTGTGCACCACTTCATCTTCGGATGTATTTTCGCAATAACCCACTTCTTTGGGATGATTTTTAATTAACTGAGAAAAAGCCGTTATTAAGGAAAGTTCATCGAATAATATTTTTATTAAATAATCCTTCAAGTACCTCTTGTTTCTGTTTTTCTAATTCTTCTTGCTGATTCTTCACTAAACATTCATATTTTACCACCATTTCGTCCCTATTCTTCATAAACGATTCCATTTCACGTTCCTTCTCGATCAAATTACTTTTTAATTTTTCATTCATAGCTCTTAATCTTTCATTCTCTGCTTGTCTTTCCTGACTGCTTAGCTGTAAAAGTTCTAAAATTTTCGCATTTTGTTCGCTCTCTTTAACCTGCAATTCTAATTGTTCTATATATTCTTGTTTTCCGGAAAGTTTTTCTTTCATTTCTGTTAAATTTTTAATCGTATTCTTCATTTCTACTTCCATTAATTTATCACTTTTATCGTCATTCTCAGTTTTTTGTATCATCTGCTTCATTTCTATAGCAATATAAAATATAAAAATTTTCAAAACGTAATTATATACTTAAAATAATGTCTGGTACTATCGTTTGACCAACCTCTTTGAAGCGAATTTATCTCATCATCCTTTTCTTGTTCTTTTTCCTGCGCGGATACTAAACGCTCCTCAAGTTCTAAAAGCCTATCATTGTTCTCACCCAATAATTTTTGTAAATTATCTTTCTCAGTTTGACATATTTCTAACTTTTTGTTTAATTCATCAATCTTTTGTTTAAGCTCTGTTACACCCTCAAGATTTTGTTCTAATTCCATAATTTTTGCAGCATGAACATCCAAACACTAAGAAAAGAAAAGAAGAGAATAAAAACCGAAAATTTGTCAAATTTCGTTATGATTTTTCTTAAATACCTGTGATTTTAAATTAGTTTTTTCTATTGTAACAGAAAGTTCCTTTTCTAAGTTACTTATTTTTTGTTCGTGTTCATTTTTGCACTGTAAGAAAATGAATAGATTAAATATATAGAAAATAATAATATTATAATCAATACATACCTTCGTGGTAAGAGAATCAAAACTTGCTTGTAAGGTATTCAATTTCTGTAAATATTAGATAAATGTTTAAAAAGAAAATATAAAATATATTCAAATAAAACCAAGCAATATACCTCCATACACTGATTGTAATTGTTCTTAGCAAGTATGAGCTGTTGTTCGGTATCGTTAAGTCGCTGTTCATAATCATTAATCTTAGTTTCCAAACTAACTTTAATGCTATCAGTGGATTGTAACGTCTCTTTAATTTGATTCTTATCTTCTTTCATAGTAGAAAGCTCCTGTCGTAGCAACTCAATTGATTGTTTGTATTCCTCAGCAATAACTTTATTTGTACAACTTTCTGCTGAAAGTTCTTTTATTTTTTGTTCTAAAAACAATATTTCTTTGTATGTTTCTTCCACTATCTAGAAAATGATAAAATAATTAGCAGTAGTAAGAAAATACGATTGTTTTGCCTACCGTAACAACCTCTTACATACCAGACATTTCTCTTTGTACAGTGTCTTAACATCATCGTATTTTACCATTAATTTTGTTAATTCATCTAATATAACATCCTGATCACAGTTTTCTTCAGCGGAATTTATCTCATTAATTTCTTCCTTTATTATGTATTCATTTTCTTCTTTTATTAGATCTTCAAAGGTCTGGCTACTTTCATCGTGTAAATCAATTTTAATAGTGTTTATACCTTGCTCTTCAGATTTCACACTTATCTGGCAACCTATCTCTACTGTTTCTATTGCTACTTTATGTTTAGCATCACCATTTTCAGCTTTAGCCTTTATATTATTAATTTGCAAATTGCGTATTTGTTCAGCTATGTCGTTTTGCTTAACTTTGGTATGTTCCAACTCTTCTTTTAGACTTTGTATTTCAATTGTACTCTGAGTTAATTTTTTTTTCAATCTCAAGTTCTCTTCGTTTATAGCAATTATTTTTTCTTGCATCTGCGTATCTATTTCCTCATCCGCTACTGTTTTAATATCCTTTTTATCATTCTCAAGTGTATCATTTATTATTTCTGGTTCGATTGTAGAAGACGCTTGCTCTTCATTTTCCAAGCAATCAGAAGATGTTTCGGAGTCCTGTTACATAAAAATTTGTAATATTACATTTCAATAAAAAATAATAAAATACGATGCAACAATTCAGACATACATCAATTTTACAGCTTACATCTTTTATACTGATCTCAGTACGATCTACTTTTTTCAATAATTCAACCCCGTCTTGCAATAATAATTTTTCATTTATTAATTTATCTATTTGTTCTTGCATAATTTGTATTTTATTTTCGTCATCTAGAATTTTCTTTGTTTGAGCCTCCAATTTTTCTTCTAACATTTCCATTGTTTTGGTCTGTTCCATCAAACAAATATTAAGATCCGTCAACTCATGTTCTAATTCTTTTATAGTTTCTTGTTTCTCAAACAGTTCTTCTTCCTGTTCTTTAATCGTATATTCTTTTTCTCTTACTTCGGTAGTGATTGAAATGTACTCTTCTTTTGCTTCATTCAAGAATACTTTTAATTTCTAAAATAATACCAAAAACATTAAAAACAGTATACTTAATGTAATACTTCGAATTTGATATATGTACCTTAACTTGTTCTTGCTTAGCAAATAACTGGGATTTTAATTCTTCGAGGTAACATTTTGACTCCTCATCAAAATTAATTTCTTGTTGGGCTGCGTTCAATAGATTTGTCATACTTTTTAAATCTTCCTTTGTCAAGCCCAGTTCGAATGTTACTTTATTTTTTTCTACTGTTAACGCTTGATTTGTTTCTTTGATCTCCTTCAAATTATTTTTTAATAGCACGATTTTCGTTATCAAACGTGAATTCTCTATTTCTAACTCGTTAATCTTTTTTATATCATCAACATCGTCATCGAAATTATTTTCGGAATCGGTCAAATACTTCTTCCTCTTCCGAGTACTCATTTGGTCTAATTTCTGCTTGTAAAAGTCTTCAACCTGTTTCACAGACCAGTGAAGTGCATCTTCCTGTTGTTCTTCCACATCTTTTATACGATTTCTAAATTGTATTTAACGATATATTAGTAAAATAAATTATAAGAAAAACAACATCAAACAATGTATATACATACTTCCATTCTGTTTCAAGCTCTTTCATCATAGCCGTATAAGTATCAGCCATTTCTTGACGTATTTGTAAATCGCGGGATAATACAGAACTCTTTAAAGCAACAATTTCTTTCTTTAATTTTGTATTTTCGTATAACAATTCCTCATAATCTTCGGTATTAACATAATCAGGTGTACTATCGTTTTCAACAGTATTTTGCCAATCTACAAAAGAATGAAAGTTACAAGCCTAATTTTTACTTTGAAAGTATAATTATATATATATATATATATATCACCTTCACTTTCTACTATTTGTGTAGAATCCCAATCAGTTACTGTTTTCATACTTTGAGTAACTAACTGTGAAAATCTTGATTTATTTTTCTTATATTCTTTCTCCTTCTGTTCTATAACTATCTTCTTTGCAATAGCAGAAAAATTCAAAACATTCTGCGTTTCTATGTATAAATTTGGTACCGGATTGATATTTACTATAAGAGCTATATGCTCCTTGCCAGATAGGGCTTTTTGAAACAGCCTCGTTAATTTCGATTCTCTAAACGGTCCAGTATGTTCTATTTTTTGTTTCGATATCTGTCCTTCATGAATAGTTTTTAAGCATCTTCCCAACACTAGTAAGCTTGTATTAATATTTTGAGCTTCTTTTAATCTCTCTCCGATATTCAACGTCTTCTTCAATCGCTCTGAACCAGCCAAATCACAAAACGCGAACCTGTTGGTAAAATAAAAATCACATAACTAAAACGATTAGAACAAGAACTCTGTAAGAAAAATATGATGTACATACGTGCTAACTTCAACAGAATTGGAATCATTTTCAATATAATATTTCAGTAATTTAATAGTAAATATACAATGAGATCTGGAGCTTCTGGCATTCAGAGCTGTCGCAGCTACCTTTAAATTATACTGGCCAGCCATTAATACTTGATACGCTTCAGAACCAGAATTCACACAAACAGTCTTCAGACCTTTTATAAATGCTCTTCCTTGAGAATCTGTTGCTAACTTAAGAGCTGTTCTTTTTTTCTGACATTCGTTCGATAAAAGATCATATACAATTTCGTTATAAATTTCGGCAAAAGATACCCAAACAGAATAATGAGAATCGATGCACTGACTAGGTCGAATCGGTGATTCTTCTTGTAACAATTTCTGCATCTCTTTATAAGCATTCATATATTGATGTTTATCCACTGAAGCAAATGTCAGTAACTTGGTTTTTATCTCTAATTCTTGAGCACGCTCAAGAGGGTTCAGAGAAACAACATCACAATGATTCATAGGCTTGTAAGAAGGAGTGGATTTTGGTGTGATATTAGAGAAGACAAATTCCAAACATCTTGGTATAATTCCAGGGGATGTAGTAGTTCCTTGTAAGGTATAAGATTTCCCTGAATTTGTTGTACCTATAAAATAATTATTTGCCATAGATTATACTCGTTGTTTAATTCAAAACAGATTCAATTTAAAATATTTTTACCATATGTCATAATGGTAGAATTTTGTCCAGCTAAAAAATCTACCATGTGTTGTTTCACTGCTTGTTCAAATAATTCTAACTGAGTAGTTTCAGGCCCGAATGTTTTAGTGAATGTGAATTTTCTGCACACAATATCGGTGCTATTGGATCTCTTTAGACAACTACTGTTATTTTCTAAAGTAGGCAATCTTGTGAATAAAGTAGTTGAATTGAGTATTTTATAGGCATTTGTTTGCTCTTCTGTTAACTTCAACTTCTTAGGGAATGGTTTCATTCGTAAATATACTTTAGCAGTTTGTAAGCTGTGTGATTCCAAATTAAAGACACCAGTTTCACTACTAGAATTACTTTCCTCAATCTCATAAACAGAAAGCAAATTCTTTTTAGTATATTTGGAGGGAGCAGGTCTTTGTCCATAAGCCAGTATGCTTGGATCTCTGCCAAACAAATATGACATCTCTTCTCGAGGATGAACATTATAAGAAGGCCTAATAGAATCTAATGTATCATCCATCTAAAAATTAAAATAGATCCATTATTCCATTATACTTTATAGAAGTAGAAAACCTAGTTTACCTTCTTAACATCAAAACGTCGTTCTTGAAATAAAAATATCAATAACTAATCTTCATACAAAAAACAAAATACTTGTACGAATTATTAAAAACAATTTTGCAAAACACAAACGTCGCGATCTAAATCATCGTTTATTATTGCATGCTCCTAAAAAATAAAGAGTTGTTTTTGAGTGATGGGGATAGTTACAGATATAAATTAACTTGTTAATACTTGAAACACGTACCTTATGTTTTCAATATAAAATACTTTCTTACAAACTATTTAATAATGTTGTAATGATCTCAGTGTACTACGTGCCAGCTTTGAGAGATAAATCAAAATACCAAATCACGCACATTTCTTTCTCGAGAAGCTCAACCCGAAACGGTTAGTATTTTATTTTGAATTTCTACTGCAAGAATGCTTTGTATGGATTGGTGGAATATGTGGTGAATTTTATTACTACCGCGCCTGCAAATCTTCTAGTGATCTTTCTTAGTAAAGGTTATGGGTTGATACTCGTGATGGTCCGTTGGGAATTTTACCGACAGTCCCTAGAATAATCACTCGAAACGAGAACACAAATTACGTCGTCATTACTAAACAGAATGCAAAAAAATTTGAGGGACGTATTGAGGAGGCCCTAAAGAATGGCGCTCTGATCCTTATATTATCCAAATATAACCAAATTATATCGTGTTTGGTATTGTTACGTGAAACGTTATCACGTGAATATGTTTAGATTGGTGTGGCGACACTGCCATGAGAATATTTATCGATAGTCTATTGTATCGATATGTCTTGGATGTTCTTTGAGGACCTTTTGTATCGATGGTCATAAATTAAGAGCGAATTTCAAACATCGTCTGTGCGTACGCTTATATAAATAGACAAAGAGTAAATTGTAAACCCCTCGACGTGGGTGATTGAGCTGAGAGGAAGCCGGAAATCCAGAGAATGGAATAGTTTCACTTCGAAAATTCCTAAAAGACTAATTTATGATAGACCATAGCCAATTCGTTGTTTTCGACCAAGTCACGAACGGTCCTTAAAAACTACGAAGTCTTTTTCGATATCCTGTCTATTTATGCACTCTGAGAGGGTCGTAAATTTCCTCAAGAGTTGCTTTGGCAAGTACAAGGTCTTGTCGTTTCCTAATTTCTCTGGGTCCCACGCTTTGTCGTAGCACATGTGCGCTGCAACGTTCTAGCGTCTTGGCGGAGTGCCTCCACTTCCACGCGCCTGTGGGTGGACCACAGCCAGGAGAAGGGGCCCACACGAGACGGGGTGGACTCCTCCACCATTGGACGAGGGATGATCCTGAGGGAGGATCCAGGATCCACCAAGGAAGGGGCATCGACGGACAACGCGCGAAGATCTCCTCCGCCAAGCGCAGAATCGTTAGAATGATTTTGTCGCTCGATTTAGACAAGTCGTTCTCACGCAGCAATTTAAAGCATTGTAAACACAAAGTTGAAGATCAGCCTTAAATTGAACTCTAAATATTAAAGTACAGTAAACAGGAATAACAGTTTATATTTTTCATTTCCGCGCCTTGCGAGCGGAGCGCCTCCGCGCTCCACGGATTATCATACCTACGCCTTTAATTCCCCAAATATCCCTATCTTCCGCGAGCGGACACGCAACAGTATCATTTTAGTGGTATCATGGAGTTTTTCACAATTTGGTAAAAATTTCATAAAAAAAGTACCAAAAATTTCGGTCTAATTTTTTATGCAACGTTGACTGTTCTACCGACGCAGAATTCGAAGTTCGGCCTCGACGCTCGCCTCAATTAATGGAAATTCTTTTATTATTTTTAATAAATTTAGCTAATACAATTTATCCTCCGAACTCTGTATGCATATATTCGTAAAATATTTCATTGTGATTGACAGTTAAATTGTTGTTCTTACTTCTTTATACGTATAAATCGACAAATGAATTGTATAATTTTCAAATGAAAATATTCTAAGGTTTTTTAGCGATTTCGAACAAAGTACGCTAATTTTTTATTGCCTTTTGGAACGGTGTACAAAATACGATAGTGACTTCAACCGCTCGGAAGTGGATAGTTTACCACAGGCCCTCCAAACTGTACTAAAATTAGTTTGGCGCAGAAAATCCAGGCGGCGCTGGTGTCGATACAAACGCATATAAATGATATCGGTGAGGTACACACACACAAGCACATGGTCCCTATATACGTGTGCATGGTCTTACTTATTCAAAACTTTGAAAAATAAAAATAATGAAAGGGAAAAAATGACAACAATATATGTATAATAAAGAAAATATATTAAATTTTTACAAAAATATAATGAATATATATATCAATAATAATATACAATTAATCACAATCATACATACAATAAAACACACACACTGCTCACAGATTATACTTAATATATTAATACCATGTTAATGGTTTTATATATTGTATATGTAAACTGAATACTTCTTTTCATTTGCATCCAGGTATCTTGTTGCTCTATTTTAATAGAGGCAGCTTCTGACATGCAATATTTATTACAGCCTATGCAATAAATATTTTCATTAACAATTATTTACATATGCTATAAAAAGTATATAAGAGTATTTACCAAATAAGTTCAGTGATGGAACTGCTGATGTTGTTAATCTTTTCCTCATGAAGTACTTTTCTTTAAAGTAGCTGCTACAGATCACCCAGAATTTCAGTTTTCAGGTGGAAGCACCGACTTTAGGTTGTCACATACTTCCACCCACTGCCATCCTCTTCTTATCCTTTCTCTCTTGGGGGAAGAAGAACATCCTGTTGTTTTCGTTAATACACCCTCTGATGCTACTCTTTCTTTTAAGATACATTTTAATAATTAAAATTAAATATATTACGAAAACAGCAATGTAAACAGTTAATACTTACTTAATTTCTATCTTCTCCTCCTGTTGCTGCATCTCATCAGCAGAAGTTATTGAAAAACCTAAAAACGTAGAAAAAATTAAGAAAAATATCCTTTTAAATAATAATAATAGTCATAATAATCATAATAGTAATAATTATAATAATGGAATTCACGAACCTGGAAATTCTGTCACCACTATCGCTCACTGTGCGCCATATTTCTTCAGTCTCTTTAAATTTTGAAACAATTGAGAAACGGCGACAAATATCGCGGGAACATAACGTCACGATATCTTTAGTTGTGTATGTTAAAATCAGTGATACAAGGTATGCATGTAGAGAAGCGACATCAGCGCCGCCTGGATTTTCTGCGCCGAGTTAAAATTTGCATCAAATTCACAAGAGTGGAGCTTGGAGGTCCTGGTTTACCATACATCAGTTTAATGTATAGGTTTCAGACGAAGTCTCGAATTAAAATAATATTTTTTTCTGTAATATCGGTAGTTTAATAACTATTTCAGTAAGAAAAGTAACGAGGAAGATAGTGTATATGCGTGTAATAATTATTTAAGTTACTCATTGCGTTAGCTAACAACCTTAAATGCTGGTAGAAACCTGTAGGTGTACAAATTTCAGTTGCCGACACAACGCTGTATTTTTATTGCAGTTGTATTGAAGGTAGGCTGTAAAAATAATCCAAAATATGGTCTAATTTTCGCAATTTTTCTTTCAAATGGGTATGTGTTTATACATATTTAAGTTTCGAAAGAACATGCTTACGCGAAATTAGCGTCTTCATCGTACTAGCCAATTGCACGGAGGATGTTTTCCCGCCATATTAGTAAAATTCGTTTCGGGTATGAAACTTTTAATAATAATCAAAATTAATCCTTTGGATTTTGAATTGATATTCAAATGATATAACTAAAGCATATGTTCAAAAACAAAATATCAAAGCTGTCATCATAATTAAGTACATGGAATGTTTGATTTTATCACACTTCATCCATTTATGAAATTGTTTCTTATTTAATACATTAATACACGACGGTAAGGTGTTATAAGAATTATATGACAATTTCATCAATTGAGATTGAAGAACTTAGTGCCCACTAATAAAACATCCTTTTTCTATGACAAAACTGAAATCAAAATTTCCAAATATCAACAAACACTATACATTCCTCACATTTAATACTAAATCATCATTTTCAGTTGTTTTCCTGTATTTCTTAAACAGCTTTCTATTTCTTTGAGTACCCTGTACAAGGCATCCAACAATTTAACTAACAAATATGTATAAATTTTAATTTTACAGTTACATAAAGAAACAGTGCAATACAATGAGTATAGCAGCAGAAAATGGCAGAGGGGACAATGCACAGAAGAAAAAAACCATTGAGCGCATATACCAAAAGAAGTCTCAATTGGAACATATTTTATTACGACCTGATACATATATTGGTTCTGTAGAACCGGTATGCGAATTAATGTGGATTTACGATAAAGAAAAAGAATGCATGATACAAAGGGAAATAAAATATGTTCCTGGATTATATAAAATATTTGATGAAATTTTAGTCAATGCAGCAGATAATAAACAAAGAGATCCTAAAATGGATACCATTAAAATTGAAATTGATTCGTAAGTAATACTAATTAGATAGCTATTATGTTAATAATTAGAAGAATAATTAAAAATACATTTCAATCCGTAGAACAAATAATATTATATCTGTATGGAATAATGGTAAAGGCATTCCAGTAGTAATTCATAAAGAAGAAAATATGTATGTTCCCACAATGATATTTGGTCATTTATTAACATCATCTAATTATGATGATGAAGAAGAAAAAGTAACTGGTGGTAGAAATGGCTATGGTGCCAAATTGTGTAATATTTTTAGTCATCGTTTTACTATAGAGACAGCATCCAAGGAATATAAGAAATGCTTAAAGCAGGTAATTATTTCAAGTAACTATAAGATTTTCAGAATTAAAAAATTCTAAAATATCTAAGGGATCCAGCCTGCCCCAGAAAATATCCCAGTTATGACAATTCACATAATTACATTTTTTCTAACAATAAACATTTGTAACATGATTACATTTATAGACATGGAATAATAACATGGGAAGTGCAAGTGAACCACGAATTAAAGATTTCTCTGGCGAAGACTTTACAAAAGTCATATTTTCGCCAGATTTATCAAAATTCAAAATGGATTGTTTAGATGATGATATAATTGCTCTGATGTCTCGAAGAGCCTATGATGTAGCAGCTTCTAGCAGAGGCGTTAAAGTTTACCTTAATGGTATTAGAATTCCAGTGAAAAATTTCAGAGATTACGTTGACTTCTACATTAAGGGTAAAGAGGATGATATTGGCAATCCTTTGAAAATTGCATACGAAAGTTGTGGACCGCGCTGGGAAGTAGCTGTGACTATATCGGATAAAGGGTTTCAACAAATGTCTTTCGTAAATAGCATTGCAACAACAAAGGTAATAAATATATTGAAATGAAACATAAGGTAAAATATGCCAATTAAATTGTGTACTTGCACATAGGGTGGTCGGCACGTAGATCATGTCACGGAATTAATAGTGAAACAATTGACAGAAACTTTAAAAAAGAAAAATAAAGGCGGACTAACAATTAAGCCATTTCAAATAAAAAATCATTTATGGATTTTTATTAATTGTCTCGTTAATAATCCTACGTTTGATTCGCAAACTAAGGAAAACATGACACTGCAAGCTAAAAGTTTTGGATCCAAGTGCACACTCAGTGATAAATTTATTACTTCTGTAAGTATTATAATTTTACTCAACTTATTTAACGTTATTCTATATATGTAAGGAATTTTGATTTTTTATATAGATAGCGAAAACTGGCATTGTAGAAGCAATTTTAACATGGGCAAAATTTAAAGCAGATAGTCAATTGCAGAAATTAGGACCTAAATCGAAGCAAAGAAAATTACAAGGTAAATTGAGTATAAATCAATCCTACTTATGCCAGTGATACCCATATTCACTCCTGTAAAATTCATAATAAATGTAACATTTTATGTGACTTTGTATTGCAGGGATACCAAAATTAGAAGATGCTAATGACGCTGGAACTGCTAAATCATTAGATTGTACGCTTATATTAACCGAAGGAGATTCGGCCAAAACTATGGCTGTATCTGGGCTTGCAGCTATAGGTAGAGATAAATATGGTATATTTCCTCTAAGAGGTAAATAATATATTCACATACACAGGTTGCCTTAAAAATACCATACAACCTGAAAGCCACAGACTTTTTGGGACACTCAATTTTTGGCACACTCTATACATCATATTATTTTTACATGTATAATATGCTATCTTTAAATCCTTTTTACTTTTAGGTAAAATCTTAAACGTAAGGGAAGCAACGCATAAACAAATATTAGAAAATGCAGAGATTAATAATCTAATAAAAATTCTTGGTCTTCAATATAAAAAGAAATATGAAACACGTGACGATTTAAAAACACTGCGGTATGGAAAATTGATGATAATGACTGATCAGGACCAGGTTAATCTCTTTTCGCATGAATTTTATGCTTTATATTTTAATTATGTTATTTAACGTATAATTATGTGTTTATTTAGGATGGTTCTCATATCAAAGGACTATTGATTAATTTTATTCATCATAATTGGCCATCACTACTGAAATTAAATTTTGTAGAGGAATTTATTACACCTATTGTTAAGGCATCAAAGGGAAATCAAGTGTTGAGTTTTTTCTCTTTACCAGAATTTACCAAGTGGAAATCTGAAACCGATAATTATCATACTTACAAGATCAAATACTACAAAGGTTTTTATTTTTAAAAATTAACATTCTAAAAATTAGATCTAACATTCTCTTACAACCCCTATATAACAATTTATTTCTTTGCGATATAGGTTTGGGTACCTCTACAGCTAAAGAGGCGAAAGAATATTTTGAGAACATGGCTAGACACAGAATTAGATTCAGGTACGATGGCGATCACGATGATCAAAACATAATAATGGCCTTTAGCAAGAAATGCGTTGATCAGCGTAAAGATTGGTTAATGAATCACATGGATGAAACAAAGAGAAGAAAAGAGATTGGCCTTGGGGAGCGTTACTTGTATGAAAAAGATACACGTACAGTGACGTTCTCTGATTTCATTAATGTTGAATTAGTTTTATACAGTAATTACGATAATGTTCGATCCATACCTAATATGATTGATGGTTTTAAACCCGGGCAAAGAAAAGTAATTTATACATGTTTAAAACGTAACGACAAACGTGAAGTTAAAGTCGCCCAGCTAGCTGGTTCTGTTGCTGAACATTCTGCATACCATCATGGCGAAACCTCTCTTATGTCAACTATCATAAACCTTGCGCAGAATTTTGTAGGAAGCAACAACATTAATTTACTTCAACCGATTGGTCAGTTTGGTACCAGGCTTGCAGGAGGAAAAGACGCGGCAAGTCCTCGATACATATTCACAATGCTTAGGTATGTTATTTATACTATATATAATAACTATAAGTTAGAAATGTAACATAATTTTCTTTCTTCGTAGTCCACTAGCTAGACTCATATTCCATAAACACGACGATGCTTTATTAAAGCATGAGTATGATGATAATCAAAAAATTGAACCCGTCTACTATATACCAACAATACCAATGGTATTGGTGAACGGTGCTGATGGTATTGGCACTGGTTGGATGACCAAAATACCAAATTATAATCCTAGAGAAATAATTGAAAATTTGTTTAGAATGATGGACGATGCTGATCCAAAACCTATGGTAATACTCTGGAAAACTATTTTATATTCATCTCTTATGTATCTCATTTTGATATTTTGTTTAGGTACCGTATTATAAAAATTTTAAAGGTACTATTGAGAGTTGCGGAGACTTTAGATACGTTATTAGCGGGGAAATTTCGGTGATCGGACCTGATAAGGTTGAAATTACTGAACTTCCAATTGGTATTTGGACGCAAGTATACAAAGAAACTGTGTTAGAGCCCATGTTACATGGATCGGATAAAACTCCTGCGATTATTACGTAAGTGATACTAGAATCTCATATGAAAATTTTTAATGTTAATAATTACTATGGATTATTTATTTTTATTGTGTGCTGTTACAGCGATTACAAGGAATATAATACAGACACGTCTGTACATTTTATAGTAATATTAAACCGTGATAAGTTAGTTGAATTAGAAAGAGATGGCCTTCATAAAGCTTTTAAATTGCAAACGACAACGACAGTTACATCTATGGTAAGATAATAATAATAATTATGGATACCTAATTATTTATATTAAACGCTTAACACTGGTGACAAATCTAAGGCTAAGGGTTCTGGTCCACTCCAAATAGAAAATTCTAATTCCGCACCAATAAAATACAAATAAAATTTATTTTCTTTACAGTGTGCGTTCGATGAAAATCAATGCTTACAAAAGTATGATTCTTCCCTTCAAATTTTAAGAAACTTTTACAAAGTAAGAATGGAAGCGTATCATAAACGAAAGGCTTATTTGGAGGGTATACTGCAAGCAGAGGCATCGAAACTTTCCAATCAAGCACGATTCATTTTAGAAAAGTGCGATGGTAATTTAGTAATAGAAAATAAGAAGAAAAAGGATATGATAGCTGAATTAGTTACACGGGGATACGAATCCGACCCAATAATAGCTTGGAAATTATCACAGAATAGAGAAGAAGTTTTAGTAAGTATTTTATCTTTCAAAATAGACACTCGTTATATTTTCGCGGCCAAAGCTGTAGGAGTGGGAAATTCCTATGATTAGAAATAACAATGCAATTTCAGTATACCCTCGTTATATTGCCGCGGACGAGATTGTAGGAGCGAACAACTTTTCAAATTTTTGTTTGGAGAGATAGAAGTATATCACTCACGTGGCAATATAACGAGAGGACTCTCTCAGTAGTAGACTACTGTACTTGCAATAAGTGCAATAAAATAATATATATTATACTTTAACTGTTACGTCACGTTAGGAAGCTCAAGTAAGTGATAGAAAGAAAACTATAGGATAAGAGAAATAACTTTTCATATACATATTTAATATTAAAACAATTATTGTTGATAGGAAGAAGTTGCTGATAATGCTGAAGATGAAGGTGCTTTGTCAACCACTGCCATAGGGCAAGAAAATTTTGATTATTTATTAGGAATGACTTTATGGAGTTTAACAAAGGAAAGGAAGGATGAACTGTTACGTCAAAGGGACGAAAAATTAGTTGAATTGAAGAGACTGCAAGCTCGTACACCTGTCTCTTTATGGAAAGAGGATTTGGATAATTTATTGAGCGAATTAAATAAAGTAATTGGTCAATTCTGTGGCAATAATATTTTTCAGGGTCACTTTGACCCATTCTTATTTAAGAATAATAGCGTGTGAAGGTTAAAAATAACACTTAATATTCTTGCATACATTGTGTATTGTAGATAGAAGAAAAAGAGCGAAAAGATGAGCAGAAATCGAGGCAAACAATTAAAAAACCACCACAAAGATTTTATTCCTCAGACGAAATGCGTAGAGTAGAACCTGTGATTGACACGGAATTGAAAAAGAAAATTGAGAAAGCAAACATTGTATCCAAAGACAAAAAAGAAGGAATTAAAAAACAGAAGGTAACATAATATAATTTTAATTGCACAATTTATTTTCTATAAATTTAACTTGAGTTTTTCTTTAATGTCTTAGATAAAGAAAGATGTTTCAGAAGATAAAGATGAACTTGATGCATTAGTTGAAGCAAGTGCTAAGTCTCTAGAAGACAGACTGGGTACTTCTCCTGAAAAAATAGCTGGCAAAAAGAGTATGTATACATCAATATAATTCTAACCTAAAAGTTACAAATTCAAATTTCAAATATTTTCCCGCACCTCTGTGTATTTAAAAAATGGTCAGAGAATAAGATTCCAATAATTGGAGTTATCTACTTAATAAATTAAATATAGGAAACTAATGTAATGCTTTATTTTTGTTTCAACTTTAATTAGAATTGAAACAGACAACATTGTCATTTAAGCCAAAGGCAAAGAAAGGAGACAAAAAGAAAGAGAAAGAGAAAGAGAAAGACTCTGACGATGAGGATGACATTGATTTTGGTAGTATTTCTCCACCACCGGCACCACGTGCATTACGTAAAACTGCAGGTATTAATTTTTAATAATATACACGATAGTTCGTAGGAAGAAATAATGGCTGATACACGATTAACTTTTTCGAATATTACAGTTAAGAAGAAATATAACCTGAGTAGTGAAGACAATTCGTCCAGCGACGATGTGATCAGTGTTTCTTCAGATACAGAACTGTAAATATTTAATTTATAATTACAGCATTATGCAAATGTTAAGTAGAATCACAATGTATGATATTTGTATTTTTATTTTTAGGAAAACCAAACAAGCCGCAACTGTAAATAGTGATTCCGATGATATCTTTAACAAAGTACATAATAAGAAACGTAAGTAAATGTACTTATATATGTATAAGCAGTTATCGTCAGTGGCGTAACTAGGTAGAAGTTAGGGGGGTCTGGCCTCCTAAAAATGTGGGTAAGCCACCTCACTATTCTAAAATTCTAAGATTAATTTAAAAAGTAGATAGATTAATGTAGGGGACGTGGATCACCCCCGAAAAAATCCTAGTTACGCCAATGGTTATCCGCCTTATCATTAAAACATTACAATTTATACTACCATTTTATTCATTTTTCAACAGCAAGTTCAGAAGAACTATTTGACTCCTTAGTCGGTAGTTCTCCAGATAAACAACAAAGACCTGCTATAACATCTAGTGAAGATTCCTCTATACTATTCTCGCCACCTAAAAAGTGTAAGACTATTAGCATTACAATAATATTAAAATACCTTATCTAATGTAATATTTACATTTAGCTCCTGTTAAAAAGAAAGCTGAAAATGGCGGAGGAAAAGGAGTGAAAAGACAATTAAAAAAAAAAGTAGTTTCTTCTGATTCGGAATCAGAGGATGCCACATTTGCAAGTAAAAAATCACCTGTAAGTAACAATACATCATATAAATTACAAAATATGAAATATTATAAATGACGATATTATTAACTACATAAAAGTACAAGAAGCAACGCGTGCACAGTAAAATATTACATTTTAACTCTTTTAAATAATGTAAACTTTAATATTTATTTTATGGTACAGATAAAGAAACGAAAGAAGAAGTCTGATTCGGAGGACGACTCCTCTACAATAATAGATAATTCTCCACCCGTAGCACCAAGAAAAACAGCTGGCCGTTCTCGTAAACCTGTTTCCTATGCCATTCAATCGGATGACGATGATTCCAATTGATCAACTTTCTATAGTGTCCAGGATCGAACTGCAAAAAACACAATCTTAAGTTGAATTACAATGCAAATGATTGTTAAAAATTTTGTGATCGTATTTGATATAAATTTTAACAAATTATGCCTTAAGGATCATAATCAATATTAATAATTTTGTATAACGTTGTACATATATGTATTAGGAAATATGGATAGTATTTTAAGAAAATGAAATTTTACAACAACGACAAGAAAATTCGTTGGTCACATTACGCATACACGTTAGCAAGTTTAATAACACGGTCTCCTTTTCCTATTTTAATTTTCACGGAATACTCCATGTTTTGTAATAAAAAAAAATTAATAAAATAACATATTTTTACATGTGTTAGAACGGTAGTTAATACACAATTTTTTTAACATGTATCAATGTGTAATCGTTCAGTAAAAAAAAAAATTGTAATAATCCACGTATTCATTGGCGTAACTAGGTAGGAGCTGAAGTTGGTCTGGCCTCCCTCTAAAAAACGGGGTTGGTCCTCTTACCATTCTAAAATTTTGAAATTTTGAAGTTCAGAATTTTAAATTAATTTCCCGAAAGACCTGACCCACCTCAGAAAGGAACCCTAGTTACGCCAATGTACATATTCATTTCATGTACATACCATGCGTATTTCGAATATTTCCAATGTATTTATTAGTGATCATGATTTTTATTCATAGTAGGTATACTCCAAAAAAAAATATTTGATGTTCTGTGTACTCTAAATAAGTATAGAAAAGTGCATAGAAGTACAAGAGTGTCGCGAAAAATTTAATTGTATTGAAATTTTTGCATTTATAATGAATACAATTATAGACATTACAGTGCGTCATTTACATTCAGTTAACAATTATTTATTCTTTTCCTTTTTATGGTATATTCTATTTTCATAGTAACACATGTACATGTACCAGAAATGTTTCTTTTTTTACTGTTCATTATAAACATATCTTTAATCAATAAAGTACTTACCATAACGTGCAAATATCATTACCTAATACTGAAATAAAATAAAGCACTATTAGTGTACGCACAACTTAACAATGCTAATTTGTATACGAACTGCATCGACACATATTTTTCGTGTGCTGAACAGTTTTAATATTCTAATAAGAATAACTGGTAAACTAACAACTATTTTTTCAAAAAAGAAAAATGATCTTTCTGATAAAAAAAGTATACATGTTCAACATTGTAGGGAAAGCATACACTGTTATACGTGATTGATATTTAATTAATAAGTTTACTAAGTTTAAATTATACACAAATACGTAAATTTATTGCTATAACGTTTCATACACCATCCTCGACGCAATTCCTGTTGTTTATGAGGAAGATCGTGACTATGCTGACACGTAGGGGCAATAAAAAAGATTTATATTATTTAGTAAAGATTTGTTATTTTAATTACTTTTGTTTTGTTCATTCATAATACTTGAAACTCTACATGTACACATTGGCGTAACTAGGATTTTTTGCTGGGATGAGCCAGGTTTCTTAGAAAATTTAAAATTTCTATTTCGAAACCAGAAAACTTTAAATTTGGAAATTTCAAAATTCGAACCAGGAACTTGAAATTTTTTGAAATGTTGAAATTTGAATTTTGGAATTAGGATTTTAAAAATTGAATTTTAAAATTCTGGAATTTGTTAATATTAAAAATTTTAATGATTTGATAGTCAATCACCGCTTTGGAGAAGGAGGCAACAAAATATGTGAGGCCAGACCCACCTTGGCCTCTACCTAGTTACGCCAATGCATGTACAATTATATGAGCACGTAGAGCTAAAAATATTATTTTTTATCTACGGAATGAGACCCATACGTTTTGCTGATCAGGTGATATAATAAACTGGGGCTTTTGTGCAACAAATTTGATGAAAATAAAAAAAAAAAGAAATTAATCTTTTAGAAAAAAAAATTTGTTTCTGATATATGCGTTTGATAGTTTTATTAACGATGCATTTTTAAGGAGTTTTCATTATATACAAATGCAAAATTCTTTTCTATCGCAAAACATATAAACATGGCTTGGTATAGATTTGCTTCCTATCGTTACAAATAATCTCAGACTGAGATTTTTTTATGCAATAAATGCTCGTTAAATGATTTCTTTCACTTCTTTTTGTCCGTATTAAGTAATTTAGTTACTTCGTAGAAAAAACGTTACCTTTTCTCTCATTTAAAAGAAGTGTTTTTCGTAAAGTTTACTGGCCAAAGTATGATATTACTTTTGTCCAAGAATAGTATGCAACTGTTCTTTTTTTTTGCAAGAATTAAATTATAATAAATAAAACAACTAATCATGACTACCGCAACTGTTAATATTTAAACAACAAAATTCTACGCAACCTAAATTACAATTTTTCAAGTACGTGTAAAATTTGGACAATTATGCATACGAGTTCTCAGAAAAAAAAAATAATAAAAATTTGCTCAGCCTCTGACTAGTTTTAATCTTCCAACGTACAGTTTACAAAAAGCACTTCCTCGTGGAAGAAAATTTCAAAAGTATACGTTTTGAAATTTGAAAAGAGAAACAGGCATTGGCGTAACTAGGATTCTTATCCGGGGTGGGCCCAGTTATTTTAAATTTACTAATAGTATCAAATATTTGATAGTGTTTTATTCTAACTTCATCGTGATATTCTTGAATTTTTTAAATTCATAATTTCACGTGATGAGAATATTGTTGTGTATTTTGTTTTTAATGGCAATACATATAGCATTCCAGTTAAAAAATGTATTCTAATTGAGATAAGACTTTGCGAGAGGATTTTCAAATCTCAACTTCTTAAAATTCTAAAAGCTTCGAATTTCGGAATTCCGGAATTTCAGACTTTTGGGATTTGAAAATTATGGAACTTTAGAATTCTGCAATTTATCAATATCAGAATTCTGAAATTGCAACTTCAAAACTAGTCTCACCCTGTCCTCTACCTAGTCACGCCAATGTAAACAGGGGAGGGGGAAGCAGGAACGGTTGGCTTTTAGAATAGAAGCGATGGATCTGATAGTAGACTCTGTTCAGACTTGTAATGTATTCTCCTCTGACCATACTTTTGCCAATCGTGTTTGGGTATTGAACGATCAATACCGTGCCCACATCATTGTACCAACAACTTACAACATTTTAACAACTCTCTTACTCCCAAAAGCTGCAGTTTTGTCGACAGACACGACTATAATACAAAGCAAGGGCACTTGATAAAATAACTTAATCTTCTATTTCATAATTATCTATATAACGTACATATATAAAACAAATTATGAATAAAGAAATAATAATCAGGTCAATAATATTGTATTATGATTCTTACCTTAAAAAATTCTTTTTTTTTTAAACACCTGATTATAATTGAAAAAGAAGTAAGATCATAATGCGCCGAAGTCCACTCTAGAGAGAAGAAAAAAAAATGTACATGTGCACGTGGTGGACTACGATTTTGATACATTTCATTTGGGAGCATTCTCAATTCATTGCATTCGAACCTTAGACCAATCCTGTGTGTTTAATATATTAAAGCCCACTCTCGTTTCAGAATAGGAACAACCAACCAAATTTCCTCATGTGTGTATGTTAATTGTTATTAGTCATGATATAAGTAATAATGTTAATATTTGAATAAAGTAACATGATATGCAGTCAAATATTCATGGAATACTTGACTGCACGGAGGTCATGCGAGGATCCACCACAGTTGTCTTTCCACTGTCAATGCTTGTCCTTGTTTCTTTACACCATATATATATATTATATCCGATTTATTAGTATATATATATATATAGTATAAATATATACACGCACGCTAGTTTTAACAATCTTTCGGTCACACTCATTCATGCATACGTTTAATCATCAGAAGAGAGGAACGTCTCCGCAGATAAGCAAAGTCCCTCGAGAGAAAAACTGCTCTGACATATTATTTTTTATCTTCACCGAGTAATTTCTTCGTTTTCACTTGTAATAATTTTTCTGTCGCCGTGCTTCACTTTTTCTTTTTTTTTTTTTTTTTAATTCACAATGACTTATCACATGTTTATCCGTTTTCTTTCACTATTTATCGAGTCAGCCCACTGTGTGTTTTGATACAAGGAACGATAATACAATTGAATATTTACGAACACAACATTATCATTATTATTATTTTTTTTTTTCGTTTTCTTTTGTCATGCTGAATAAACTTGTCTTCTAGAAAGACGCAAGGCTCCTGGACTTGCGGCGACCAGTCTCGCATCTCTCTTGCAAATGTCCTATGTAGTTGTCGGCCTGTAAGTGTAGTTGTAGAGGTGTGGTGGTGATAAGTGGAGGTGGTAGTGGTGATACTATTCCGGTTTCTTTTTTTTTATTTACAATTCGTTATAGCAATCGCTAAGATGAGATGGTGTGCAGTTCAGTGTTCAAGATTTGGCATGTATCAGCGTATCGAAGATTTCTCCCTTTAGTTCCTTTCCACTACGAACTGCTCGACGCGTTCATACCACTAAACATGCCAATGCTAAACGACGTTTGCTGCTGTTGCTGAATTTGTTGTTGCTGCTGCTGCTGCTGTTGATTATTCGCTTGCCGGCCATGCTTTGGCACTGGAGGTTGTAAATATTCGTGTCTAGCTAATGTCAATACATCTATGCGCTCTTCTTTCCTATATGCTAGGCAACTTCTTATGAAACTCTGAAAGAATAAACAAAAAAACAATAGAATTTCAGTTCAACACGTAAATAGTTTATCTGACTGCTATAGACGTATATGGCGATTATTTTTTCAAATTTCTGACCTGGCTAGGTCTGCTCAAGTAGATCTGAATTCTAGAATTATAAGATTCCAAGATTCTAAAATCGTCTCATAAAATCTCATGTTAATAGAAATAAGTATTTTGCCCGAAATACACGCAGAGTGTTTAAACTTGGAGCCAAAGGGTTAATAGTAAGATAAATATATACCTTTGCTTCGTTGCTAACTGTTGGTTTATTCGCGAACTGAACTTCAGTGGCTTTCAAAATTGTATTTTCTTCTAAAATGGTAGCCTGGGATTGATTATGTCCAAAAGGCTGAAAGCATATTTGTACGCATGTTAGATTCCACCGAATTAACATTTAATTAGGTGTACAAATTAATTCAATGGCTTTTTATTTTTTTAATTCATAGATTTCTTCAAAAGTCTTCAAATGGTCAATAATTTGGTGCCATTAGTAACGATTCAAACCAAGGCGGAAAACTTTAAAGTAGCAATTAAAAAGATGTAATGTTAAAAGCACCGAATTAACTTGTATACCTAATATAAGAAGCAAGGTAACTTTTGCACACCATACCAGGCGTACACACAAAATTAGGGTGCCTGGGTGCCCGCAGACTCGACTCGGGCGTCTATTCTACTGCAGGTTTTATCACTCTTAAATTATTGGTTCGAATCTGTGCCCATAGTCGTGTCCGCGGTCAACATCGGGCACCCATGCCAGTTTCATAACTTGCTGTGCACTTTTACAGTACATAATACGTACCGAGTCAAAATGACCCGATATTCGTAGTACGAGGATTAAAATTTCCAAATTTCAAACACTCAAAATTAAAATTTTGCAGGATCACTTTAACCCAGTACGAACTGCATGTTCCTACATGAAATCCTTCCGATGTGTGTATATACTTTTTTGTAATTAAATATATCTGCAGTTTTATACACAATTTATAATGATATTTTTATGGGTTGAAGTAAACCTGTATCCGTTTTTCAAAGGATAATGATTAATCATACCTTTTTGCCGTAAAGACATTGATAAAATATAACGCCCACGCTCCATACATCAACTTTTGACGATATTTTAGGAGGATTTTTACCAATAACAAAACACTCTGGCGGTAGATACCTGAAAATTATAAATATACATTTTTTATATTAACGAATAGGTAACAGAAGTACTAGCTGGATTTATTAACCTCTGGAACCTAGTTACGCCACTGGATATTTGATAACTCCTAAGTACATACCAATAGGTACCAGCTCCTTGAGATGTTAAATCCATTCCATGATCTGGATTGTAGTTTTCTTCGTCCATTACTTTGCTTAATCCGAAATCTGTAATTTTTATCTCTCCGCAAACATTACCTTCGGTTAATAATATATTACCTATGGAATAATCGGAAAAGAATTAGAAAAATAAATGATTAGTTTATTATACAAAGTTATGTTGAAAATCACACAAACATTTTCCTATAAATAATACAATTTAAGAAGAATTTACCTGGTTTTAAATCATAATGTATGACTGGGGGTTTTATTTCATTGAGGTACTTTAATGCAGATACAACTTGCATAACAATAGATCTTGCTTCTCTTTCTGGTATAGTCTTATGCTAAAATCAAATGAATATTTTATAAAATCTGGAATGTATGAAGAAATGTTGAAGACTCATTAATATACCTGCTTGAGGTAAAAATCTAAATCATGGCCATCACAATATTCCAAGACAGTACAAAAAGAGTTGGCGTCAATTTCAAACACATCATACAATTTCACAACGCGAGGATGATCAAGAGCCTTATGTATATTGTACTCTCGTAACGCATGCCTGTAGAAAAAAAATATCAAATCATAGAAAAATTCTGAAAGAACAACTCTTTTGATATTTATTAATTGACGCAAAAATATTCCACGTTGGTCTGTTTTCGTCTAAAATATAGTATTATTTTACATATAAATAATCGATTTTGATAACTAATATCAAATAACTTATGCATAAAAACATCATCTAAAAATACTCACTTAATATAATTAGCTTTCTTATCCTCTTTCCAGTCTTTATTTAGTTGATGCACTTTACAAGCGACGTATCGTTGCTCCTTTAAGTCAAATGCCTAATATAATAATAAAAAGAATTAAAATACTTAAAATAACAACTCAAAAATTGTTTACTATTTTACAGTGGCGACTCGTCCACTAAGACTGTAGTGCATCCAATATAAAATGGAAGTTCATATAAAAATTTCAAACATAATTTTAGAATTGGAATTTTAATTTTATCCATATTTTACTATTTCAGCCCCACTATTACAAATTCTTACGACCCACCACTGGTGTTAACAATTTTTCTCATTTACCTTATGCACCTCACTGAAACCACCTTTTCCTAACAACATTAGTAGAAGGTAACGTTCGTTCAATACAGGATGAGAATTAAATCTCGATTGGTCCTCGTTGTGAATACGTTTCAGCTCTCTGATGTGTAAGTTTCTTTCTCTTTCGAGTTTTTCCATTTCCAGTTGTAAATCTGCATCCTCCTTTTTCAACGCGCTTTGTCTCAACTGTGAAATCAAATAAAAAGATTATAACAATGGGCAGTCAAGCTACGTCCTCACCGGAGCAACAACGAGCAACTTTTTGTCGCTCCTTGTTGCTGTTTCTTTCAAGACACTTCCAACAAGCATCTACTTACAGAAACATTTTGTCCACATTGAAGCAACATAATCTAAGGAATATTTGGATTTTATTTGGGTTTCAAAACAAAATTTATTGCTAGCAACAAGTTTCAAGTATATTAACCCTTGAAAGGACCATGGAAAGAGCCACAATTTTAATTAATTAATAATATTTCATATTATTTCCTTTCTTTAAATTTTACACTTTTCTTTTAAAAATTACACATTTAATTTTAATAGGGTTAATATCCTTGTACGTTTTGTAAATTTGGGTAATGACACAGACTTCGCTGTAGAAGGGTTAATATGTTGTGCATCGAGGGATAAAGCGTCCGCAGTGGAGAAGCATTTGCTGCTGTTGTCACGTGTTTCCGCGTGTTAACTATTTCTCTTTGATTTTTAGAATGAAACTTCTAAAATAAAAATAAAAATTTTTAGAATTGATTGTCCGAATGGAAACGGACAACAAGCAGCAACATTTATCAATGATAACAGAAACGCAAAGAAATGTATAGAAACATTCAGCAACAAGCAGAGATTTTGTCAAGATACATCAACATTAACAAAAAGTTACTCGTTGTTGCTTCAGTGAGGACGCAGCTTCAACACGTTGGATGTGGGATTAACCGAGAACAATAAATATAAAAGAATCTCGCGAACTTTATCCGACAGCTAATAGTTTTTGCTGAGAAGTTATGTTAATAGATTTGAAAAATAATACCTTGAGTATTTCATCAGCTTCGTAATACTCTTGCCACGTATAAGATCCAGGTACTGCATCTGGCTTTAAGAATGTAGCTTCCGTGCCATTATGCAACGAAGGTTGAGGCTGACTACGTTTTCTACCAGTTTCACTGTTCGACGGCCTCTTTTTCAGTAGAAGCTTTTTTTGTTTATCAATTTCTTCACGTTCAGTCGCTATCTCCTCTTGCCGTCTTGCTAATTCTTGAAACGCATAACCGTCCGTCCAATTCTCTTGAAACGTCGCGCCCACCCTTTGCGTTACAAATTGACCCAACCTTAGTCTATTTTGCATACATTTTTGTCTAGCCTCTTTTTTTTCTATGTTTGATTTTTCTTTCAGTAATTTCTTTACAACATCTATACACTTATTTATATGGGATTTGTGCTGCTCGATTACTTTTTGCTGATTAGCCATTTGATGCCTAAGTTCGTCTGTTGTCTGAAAACAAAAAAAAAATATGTATAGATAAATTTACATATAATTATAAACAATACTATGAATTTTAATCATTGGCGTAACTAGATAGGAGCCAGGATGAAAATACGGGGATTAGGACCTGATCGTTCTAAAATTCTGGGATTCGAATATTATATCTGGAAGCCCATAGAAAATACAAAAATCCTAGTTACATCAATAATTCTAATTGACCTCGAATTCAATTACTTACTCTATTTAATTCATCAATTTTATTATTTCGTAATTCTAAATCCGACGAGGCTTGGGTTTCGAATTCCTGTATCCTCTGGCAAGTAAGTTCTGTCTGAAATACAATTACCATATTTATGATAAATCAAAGACAAGTTACTGTAACACATCTGAATGCATTTGTCAGCATAGTTGAGAAAATACTAGATACCTTGCTGCGCCCGAACAGAGAAGTAACATGCAGATGAAGATGTGTTTAGTGCAACACTTTCACAATTTCATATAGAATTTTAATCCTTAAGTATTTGTGTAATATACTGATCATATATTTCTACATATTATGCCATTGGAAAAAAAGAAGCTGATTCATTGAATGATAAAACTACTAAGAAAAAACCCAAACATATAGATAATAATACAGGCAGCAAGGAAAACACCAAAAATGTACGCATTTAAATTTATATTCTCCATCAAAATAATTATAAATTCAACTTCGTTAAATGTAAGCATATTTAGAATGAAACATGCACACCTATATTAATTGAAAAGCGAAAGAAAAAATTTCTTCGCCGACAAGGTAGCTTGCCTCCTATGATAACAAATGGATACAGTGCTACAGTTTAGCCAGAAGTTTACTGCAAACATCTGACAAGAAGTACCCATTTGACAATGAATTTTTATAAATTAAAATAACCCCTTTAAAACAGAAATGAAACAAAGAAATAAAGTAGATTTATTGGAAATTTTGAATTATGGGTCATTTCTTATAAAATGCTTGCAAAAATTATCGAATGTTGCTTACATTTGGGGTGTTAGTCTTCGCTTGCCTGACCTGGCTTGTCCTACTGAGGTTGGTAGGCCTTACCTGCACCTGCTTGCTGACCATTGAGCCTGCAGGTTGTGTAGAGGCTGGTGGAGGAGGAGGTGGAGGTTGAGGATGAGGTCTTGGTGGCTGCATCAGTGAAGAAAATTCGGCCACCGAAGAATTGGGTGTTGTTACTTGCGGTGAAAGGAGTTGTTGAGGTGATGGTGGATACTGTTGAACAAAAAATGTATATCAGAAAGGAGTCTTAGGAAGAAAGTTAATTAATAATATATTTACCATAGGATACCCCTGTTGAGGGGAGGGACTCTTAGCGCCCCCATGCCTAATGGGACTATTGCCTAAGTGGTGCTTTGGAAAATACTCATTGATCTTTTTATTCTCAAGACCAACCACCGATCTGGACCCTTTGCTTCCTATAGGTCCTCCTGTTATTCCTCCACCTCCATCATCTGCTTTACGTTTTCTTTTCCTTTCTGAAGGAGTTCTTGGTACTTTTTCCGGAGTATTTGGATCTACCTCCTTATCACTATGCGATGAGCCTACAACCGCATTAAAGTTAATCCTTCTATAAATTATTAATAACAAAATGAACTTACCGGTGCTCATGTTCGAGTCTTGACTATGAACCGACTGACCAGAGTTTACGGTTGATTGAGGTGCCATCTGAATTTGTGACCCAGCAGACATCTGAAAAAAAAAATATGCCTATGTCAGAATGGTACTTTCACAGAGAGGTTAAAATTATGAAAAATTATTGAAATCTGAAAAGTGGTCTTTGAAATGAGAGTGGAAAAAAGACAGTACAAGAGAGTAAGAAAGATAGGTGACACCTTCCAGGAGAGCCTATGGTGGAGCCCCATAGTCGTATTTGCTGTTTGAGCTAATAGACAGTATGTCAACCATAGGCACGGTTACGCGCACAATTTCTCCGTAAATGTCAATATCAGCGAATGAATAAAATCTCCGATATATGTTTAGAGGTAAAGGAATCACGACAAAATGGAGGACCCTAACGGAGGGGAACGACGTAAGGGCAGGGAGTTGCGGGGCAAGTGGGAAGAGCGGGAAACGGAGAGGGGGTGGAAGTAGCGAAACAGAGAATGAGAATAGAGCCAGAGGGGTAGAGGAGGTGTAAGGAACTTCTCGATGGCAGAGGAGTGGTTGGATTCGGAACCACGGACGCGCTCCGCGAGGGGGCAGTTTTACTCACTGTTTCGCGTCTGAACTCTTTGGTCAGGCCGGCTAGTTAACTGGTTTATTCCTAACGTATACGATACAGACTGAAACTCGCTTCGACGATTACTAACAACAACAAACGACGACATACTACGTCAGACGGCTTTGTGACGTCGATTCAACCGATAAATTACGCACTCTTATTATTATCATTGGCGGCGTGTCAGCCACGTTTACTCCGCGCGCGGTTAAGAACCCGGATTAATGGTTAGTCCTCATGGACGCGGTCACGCGTTTGCGCCGTTTCATTGCCGGAACGTACACGTTCGAATTCCACGCTCTGTCACTGGTGCTTATCCATTCAAAGCATCGCGAATACTAAATTTTGCAAATTTTTTAAAATCCGCAAAATTTCTTTTCGACAATTTCTAATAAATAGGGATAAATAAATATATATTTCCATGTATCTATTTGTATTATTTATATCTACATTTATTTATTTGCAATAAATATAAATAAATTTATAAAATTTAAAATTTCTTCATTTCCTATACATTAATCTTTAATACCGCAACAGAAATTCGATGATTGATTTAAATTTATGCTTGTTCTGTTGATATATTCAATTTGTATAATTACCTGAAACTGATTATAATAAAAATAATGTATTAAAGTACACGTGTATATTACGTATATACACTATCCCTATCTACTATTTAAAAATGGCAGTCTGTTTAAAAAGTAAAGCATATATTTTGTCACATCAGCAAATTATTTTAAAAATCATCTTTGTACAATTAAATATTCTAATTACACACACAAGGGAATGATCATTTTTAGATATTGCTATTGGTATAGCTATTTGAATGGAAAACACTTATATATCGGGTAATCATTAATTAAAGAAATAATGAATTTTCAGGTTAGTTGTTATAAATAATTTGTAGTATATTTTCTGGTATTTTCATGAGAATGCTAGAAAACTTCTTTATCGATGGATCAATGTCTATGCCCGGAACTGGGCTAGAGGGCCGAAGAATCGTATCTCCGTCGGCGATTTGCCTTTAAGACAGCTTCGTGGGTGCCTGGTGTGCGCTTGCGTGAGTGTGCGTAAGATTACATAGGAAGTAGTAATATGTACGAACCTAGTGAATCGGGACATGCGGATATTACAATGGACTCCTTTATTCCTGACGATCGGACCCTTTTACGATCATAATCATAGAGTATGTAACGAATGATATAAACACGTCGTACATATATAACACACTCATAGAAGGTTGGGGGTTCACTTGGTATCTTCGTCAACAGTGAGGTTCCACTCATAAAAGTGGCGTGCAGTTAGCATGCCGGGTAAGCAGCAACAGCACTCACAGCAGCACCGAGTGCCGTCAATGGCCACGATAAACGGCATTACGCGTACGTATTCACGGGGCCAAACTCGGAAGCGAAAAATCCGGCGTAGTCTCGCCTAATCGAAACGGAACTGAAACTGTCTGACCACCGTACCGTTCGCATACTACTACTCTAGCGGGAGGGTTTCCTCTCTTTCTTCGTTCCACACTCTCTCCTCTATCTCTTTCCTTGTCTCGCTTCTCCTCTCCTCTATGTACGGCAAATGAGCAACGCGCGAGATTCCGAGATGCGGCAAAAGGTGCAACTTCCATCTCCCCGCGGCGCCGCTACCGCCCCACGATCACAACAGACAGGGAAGGAGAGAAAGAGAGAGGAGGGGGAGGGGGCAAGCCAGAGGTTGGTGAGCTTGGGCGGAGAGGGATGGGATAGAGAGTTGAAAAGAGAGGTAGGCTGAGTGACGGAGAGCTTTTGCAGGGGTAGGGCCAGGAGAGGAAAAGGGAGTCAGAGAGAGGCGTATGAGACATTCCTTCAGTGAACGGGTCGACCGAGTGTGAGTGCAACCGAGCCGGTAAAATCGATGTGGCGAAGTGTGGCTGTGCCACTACGGCGTGCAAAGGGTGTGCTGTACCCTGTACGTGATCGGTAATCTGCCTTCTGCCGTTCTTATACACTCCAACAAATTCTACTATTAACTATTAACCCTTCATCCCATGATTTCCTTTTTTGACCTTTAGTACAGAATTTCAGGACATATACACAAGCCCCAAAAGGGGTTCTGTCCCAGTCGTCTAAAGATTAATTTTAAAAAGAAAAAATGTAAAATATTGAAATTTAGGTATCATGTAAAAGAGATGTTTAAAAAGTACTGAACACTTCGCAGGACGTTATTTTATATAATGGCGACATAGGGGAAGATCACAATTCTATGTGATCATAGAATAAAATAATTTTTAATGATTGAGTATATAACATTCAATATTTATTATATATTATCATTTAATTTCCCGGTTCCAAAATTTAAGTTTAAAATTCCGAAGTTTAAATTTCAAAATTTCAAAATCCAAAATTTTAAGTTTAGATCGCAAAGTTCCAAAATTAAAAAGTTTTCCCAAGTAAACATTTACAGGTGGATAGTGGGTCTTTTTCCCCCTATATCGCCATTTTCCCTAGAAAAATCTGCTGTCCTCAATATAATACAGCAGTACATGAATTCAATGTTTAGAATTGATCCAATAATAATAAACTGAACTTATCAACAAAATTTAAAATCCAGAATTATTTACATTCTTGTATCAATTTCTATAATTTAACCATTCAGTGGCGCAACCATAACTATTCAATAGAGGGAATAAAAACTATTTTCTTTCATACTTTATGATGTTAAATCTAATTTTTATTTTTGTTTATTTTAAAAAATTTTTTAATTTCTTTATGGTCGAAAAGGTCAGCTGACCCCCCTCCCTCTAGTTGCGCTACTGTAACCATCATCTATAGAGAGTGGCACCTGACAGAAAATTGAAAAACGTAAGTATCCTTACAGTGGCGCCACTGCTTACGCTCCTGCCAAGGCGATGTGTGTTTCAGCCAGTGTGAGGGCGTATTAGCGAGACGTGGTCTCGGTGGAGGGGATGGAGGAGTTAAGCGTACGTACGAGATGACGACCGACGAACATAACTGCTCAGGCAGGCGAGCAGGTGGGAGTGCATGTCAGATTTTAGATGCAACGACGCAATGTTTGTCGGTAGTCGCGCATTTACACTCTACTGGTGTCGTTACAGTGTTTTTTCACCTCTGTGTTTTATTAAATTTTCATAATTTTCAATTATTCGTGACGTGTGATCAGCCACGATAATTTGCTTCGTCCACTATTAATTCTTATTCCACGCACAGTGTGTTTTAAATAATCACTTCATTCACAATTTTCTAAGTTACGATAAAGTGGAGAAATAATAATTACCTAATAGTGTTACATACTTCGCGTGCCTTTCGTTTTGACCACGTACGAAGGAATAGAAGTGCCTATCGATGCGACATTCAGACAAGGAGCAACGTTGCAATATTTCGGATGCTGTGACAACGTCGCACACACCATAATGTGTTTTCAGTTTTTTAAATGTACGTACTAGTTTAGTACAGTCGCCGCTGGGTATAGCCAAGACATCTTTTATATACTTCTTATAATGCCTAATGCGAAATTTAGTTATAATTAAAATATTTACATGCCAAAACGCACGTAAAGTGTAATATGTAATTTTATATTTAAAAAACAAAAAAAAAAAAAAAGACCGTCCAATGGCATTTGATAGTGCAAAACAACCATGGGTATTTGATGCGACGGCAACGCAGCAACGACTATCCCCTCTTTTTTATAGAACGAGCCACTGTTTCCCCTCCATACGTTGGGTTAGCCCCCTCCAATGACCTCCCAATAGGTCGCACACTCATTAGCCCAGTCGCGCGCGATTCTCCCCTTCTACTCGGCGCTGCCGCATGTCTCTGGCCGATCAGCTGGTCGGCCACGCGACGTTGCCTCGCTGCTTCGGCTTGCGCTCTGCTCACCGTTCAGCCACGCGGTTTTCCGTGCACACCGCTTCGGGTAAGGTTAGGCATGTTTCCCCGATGCCGTGTAAACGGTGTGTGCGCATTGTACGTTGCAAGGACGACTTCTTGCGATTTCATTCGGGATAAAATCTTCTTCGTAGTTCGATGCAATTATCAATCAATTATTTTTTATTTTTTGTTTATTTGTTTTTAGACGTGGCTATATATGTTAAATGAAGAAGATGCAATGCGTAGTATTTTTTATGTTATTACATCCGGATTTTTTTAAACTGATGTATAGAGTTTTCTTGAAATATGAATTTTGAAATTTTTTCGATATTTGAATTTTGGATTCGGAAACTTAAAAATGCAAATGTACACGAAGTAAACTCTATGAGCTACATTAGTATTTTTTATAATTCTACTCCGTGTTTGCAACTAGTAAATTTTCCTCACTTTTGTTTTATCAGACTAACACAGAGTTGAATACATTGCTATTATATGTTTTATTACTTCTATAAGAAACTTCTCCAAGGTACTCTAATATGTTTCTTCCCGAACAAATCGTAAACTAACTAGGTAAATAACGTGGCAGGTGGAACTTTGTTAGCTTAGAAATCAGAGCGTCGGCGGCGCCACTTTAGATTTTCTCCATCAGATCTTAGCGATTACATTGATTATTACTGTCACATAAAACTATTTAAAATATTCAAGAATAAAATCCGTATACACCGTGCATCCAGATACATGCGTCATAATTATACCCGAGAAATCATAAAAATATTTTGTTGAATTCATTTCAACATACATTTTGTCGAGATAGCTGACAAATTTAAGTATTTTTCCTTTCCGTGCGCATGCGCAAATTGCGTAATCTATTCACCAGTCGCATCATTGAGTTGACAAAATACATACACTATGCAGAGCGGAAAGAATGCGGCTTTGATTGGTCATAGTAGCCCCACCTTTTTTGGATATATGTATTTCTGTACCGTATGGCAAAAAAAAGATCTCGAATATAGTTACTGCCGCTTGAAAATCACGATGAACGTGCCGTGTGTCACTGATTCGGACTTTCAGCCACGCGCGCACATAAGCCGTCTAAGGATTTGTCGATTAGAAAAGGACGCCATCGACCTTTCTGTCGCGACGGCAGTGACGATCGGCACGCCATTGAATAGCGTTGACGCCTAGCATCGTGTATTGACAATGGCAGCAATAGCGTAATCTTAGAATGTTGATCATTAATGTTTAAAACGTGTCACGGTTGGATACAGGAATCCTACTACTATGTCAACGTCTACCATTTCAAAAGCTTCAAAGGTCATTGACGTTCAGATTTTTGGAGCGGGACAGGGATCTTTGAAATTTTGAAACTTTGAAACAACTATTGCCTTTTTTATAATGTAATATGTATAAAAATACTGTAGTAATTGTTTAAATATGATTGTACGTGATATCAAGACAAAATATATCTTGTATATAATCGTTGAAATATTCAATTGTATAATACAATGAAATATAAAGTTAGGGTGGGGCTCAGGCATATGAACCTTAACCAAACACTTAACGTAGGTAGATCAGTAACGATCGAATCCCCTAGTTCCTGTATGTGGCACTAGATGGTCGCTGGAAGCAACCCTTCTGTTATAGAAAAAAGTGTCACTCTTGAAACATTTTCTTGCTACTTAAACATTTACATCTTGCTAACTATGTTAATCAAATATATGTATATGATACAGTCATGAAGGTACATGTGCATCATAGATATTCAAACGATACAAATCACTATGAAGATTTTGAGTGACGTGAATTTTTCTATGATTCTGTAAGTTCCTATTTCGATAAGAACATCTAGTTACATATAATTTTATTAAATATTTGAAAGTCTATTTAATAGATATCATAAAAGTAATATAAAATAAATATGAAATCAAATTTTCCCACTTAAACGTTTACACGCAACTAGGGCACGCGATAGGACAACAGACTTCTATGTATTTGGGCTTCCCTCCCCTGCACCGCCATTTTCCCTCGGGAGCCCACCGTACTCGGTACTGTACTTAAGTAAAAACAAAATCAGGTGAACGATTGCAGGTATGATTGAATGAGATGCATAAGATAAGCAGATATATGGATAAAGTATACAATTGATGAGTGGAAAGAAGACAGGGACACGCTTTCTTTGCCGGGGCGTCGACATATCAGCAGTCGGCGAAAGAAGTTCAATGTGGCGGTAAAGGCAGACGGTAATGCAGATTGCGAATTGGACTTTAGGTGTCTCCTGCTACCGCGTTACACTGTACGTGCACTTCGAACTTCAGCGTTCACGACCTTAAGCATTTGTGTGCTATCCTTTCAACCATTTTCTTTTCTTTCCCATTCATGATTTATAAACACTATATTTCAAAAATTGTATCTCTTTGCCGTTTCGATAACTAATAAATGAATCTTGTAAATTTGTAATTCTTAAGTTGCTTACAAGTTAAATAGAAGAATATGTTACAATACCAGCTTCCAGCGTAGAAGAGAGACTGATGTAGCCACAATGGGCAATGAAAAAAACTGGCGAACACACAACTGGTGATACACAATGAAAAAAGCTTTCGAAACTCGAAAGGATCCAAGAACGTCAAACGCGAGTCTGGCTTGTACGTATTCAGTTCCCAAGGTTGGTAGGTATGTATAAACTTTCCATGCAATGTGCGTAGTACCCACTTACTATCGAAAGGATCAATACGGGGAACATGCACTAACAGCTTGCTTGCTTTTATGAATTTCCCTCGCCTAAGACTGTAGGTCACGCAGCAATACGGTTTTATCTTTTCTAAGACAAAAAAAAAGTATTTTCTTTTTGGAATAATCGTAAATATTTCATCCGCTTGGTGATCGATACATATTTTTTATAAAGTTGGTATGTGTATTCCAATGTAAGAAACTTGTATTTTCAGAATGAAAAACGATCTATTATTACGCAGAGTAATTAATTAGTCATTCGAATGAATATGTTAGATTACGCAACGATATGTGTTATGAGATTAGTAAGAAACTGTGTGTACAGTTTTCTGAAAAATTAATAATTTTTGAACGTTAACTTGAATTCTAGAGTTTTGAATTTTAGCCGATTAAATACCGAATAAGACTATAAAAATATTATACATCAAAATTTGGGCATTAAAGTTGTTTTTCAACAAGATGCAACGTATTGAATTTCTTTTAAGACAGGGAATAAACGGAGGTTACCCCGGGGGTGTAGCCTGAATGTCCTTCACCTTCCCTGACTCACGGCATTTTGTAATCGGATCAACTCGGCGTAACTCGTGTATATTCGCAGGTTCCGGATGTTCATAAAAATACTTTCTATATTTAAAGAATAATTACCATAGAAAACATTAGAAATCACTTAACTAATTATTAACAACAGTTTTTTTTTAAATTCGTTCAATAATAAAGAAGATAAGAAGAATTAAAGTAAGCTTTGTATTTTCTGTTGCTTCTTGATCAATCTTGCTTTTGACTAGAGTTTGTGGTATCGCGTGTCATTCGTGCGTTTTCGTTCGGGAGACGGAACGTCCCGACTGGATGTCGAATTTGCACGAGTTCGAAGCCGAGTGGCTAAGAGGTGGAGAAAGAATGAAGCGTACAAAGATAAAGAAAAGAAACTATTCAGAAGCTCTACAACTCGATTTAACCACGATTAAATACACAAGTCAAACACACAACTATAAAAAGATATATATTTTCAATTCTGAAGCTTTTACTACTACACTAGTTGTGACGTTGACAGTTTCTCTAATATGCACCTTAAAAGATAACCCCTCCTACATGCATTTCATTTTTTTTTTGCACTTAATATTCGCGAAGAAAAATCTGAAAAAATTCACAACTACCCTCCCAGTTGAGGTAGAGGATTGAAAATTCGTGTACTACATTTTCTTTTGACAAGCTATGGAAAGGTGCATTGCCAAGTAAAATCGGTTCAAGGTTACTTTTGACCATTCTGTCCTGCTATATTGCTCTACCCCTTGGTTTATGAACGTCGTGATGTAACATAGGTCAACAAGTAAAACATCAATCTCTATGGAACATTGATGAATGCACCGAGGAAGGCTCGAAGCCCTCGGAAGCTGCGTTTCAAGTGGCATCCGCCGGAGGCAAGTAGTGTCACCAAAGGTAGGGGAACTGCAACTGCAGCGGAAGGAAAGAGGGGGCGTGCACATTCGACTTCTCCCGAAGCGAAACGACGCGACACGATCGGCCGCTGCTCTACTGAACGGCGTCGAGTGTTGTATATGTCAGAGTAAAAGCGTTGAACTCAGTAAATGTGTACATTTACTAGTCAATCTATTCATTTATTAATAATTAACAGAATAGCAATATAATTTTATTTACTTACTCCTTTAAACTATATATTTTGAAACTTAAAAATTTGAATTTTGGAATTCTGGAGTACTGAAATTTTGAAATCCAGTTAATGCTATACTGTCAGTATAATATTAAAGGAATGCTATTCAAAACACTTTTCTTTTTTCTTTTACTAATTATTACATTTGAGGTGTTGGTCATCAATGACCACCACGGTATCGAATGTATTAATATTTAGTTGATATTTTTGTGAAAAAGTGTACTCGTAAAATTTTGCACTTTTACTGTAACATTTCTAAAATGACGGCACGTCGACTGGCCGTCTGCTCTGACCGGTGTTACGCTATTGCATGTACGCAACTTGTGTGCTTACGCGATAGAGGGTGGTTTTCGTATTGATTCGTACAATGCTTCTCTGTATTACCGACTCCTCGTAAACTTTCTTCAGACAAGATCAATAATGCTAAAAATAGTTAACATCACCGAAAACTATTTCTAAAAGAGAAACATTCCTTAGCAAGTTGATAACCAACGATTCACGTATATTATGTACTGAATTCAATGATGCGTATAACGAATATGTTTGAACAATAAATTATCAGTTATTTGTATGAATATTGGTGTGAAATATTGAATTGATAATATTAACAACAATTAAATTGAGCCAACCCAATATACAATTATAGATCTGTTTACAACCCACATCTCAGAATCGTGTAAATATAGCCACTGATGTATGTATAGAATAAAATAAATCTTGAAACTTTTTATGTAATTTATGAACAAACAGATTCTCTACGAAATTTGTTTTGATGATTATATTTGACGTGATTAATTAAGAATGTGCTCGTGCATTCGCAGTCTCCAATTTACGGTATGTTTAAATAAACTTACCATTTGATGAGTCTAACTATCCAAATGGCTCAAATAGCAAATCTATAAGAAAATTAATATATGAAGATCTCCAAACATAAAAATAGATACACATTAAATAATAACACTAAAAATGATAAAGATACGACGGAAACTGACGAACCACTAACCAGTGGTTAGCAATATTGCTCAAAATAAGAAAAAGTATAATTGCCTACTAGTTTATTCATAAAAAAAGCATGCACAACAAGTAGACTAATGTTTTGCACTTTTAACGAGTTTTCTTTTCATGAGAAATCGAAACAAAGGGTGAGAAATGGAATTATTGCAGTAATTCTAAGTGCAAGAAGTGGTACTTTGTTATAAGTGGGATTTCCTAGGAAAAATGGCGATCTAGGAGAAGAAAGCGCTACCGCTCGTGTGTAAATGTTCGCTAGATATCTGATTTAATACTTATTTTACTGTTAATATTTTTTGAAATTTTAAGAAACTTTAGAAATTCTAGAATTTTGCGATCTTGAAATTTGAATTTTCAAATTTTAAAATCTAAACATTTACCTAATATCTAATTAAAAAGTTTCAATTAGCATATAATATTGTAAAACGCGACACCAAACAGGTGTTATTTGTTTTCAATTAAAAACCAACAAAAGATAAATAAAGATACTTATATTCTAACATTTCAACGAACGTTGAACGTGTTTATCACGTTGTATTCTTTTCGATCAACTAAGCCCAGCACACCTACAAACTTTCACTCGGAATTAAAGGAAGAACGGTACGCTCGTGTGTTACGAAGTCTAACGATTCCATCCGAAAATTGGCGAACGACAGGTGCGTTATTTCCTTGTCACGTCGAAAACTGTATCCGCTAACATGACTCGAATACAACGTTCTTAACATCTGTATCTCAATAGTATATTGAATTTCATCGATAACGTTCTAAAAAGAGCGAATTAAAAAAGAAAAACAATATGGAAGAAAGTAAGCGGTCAAGATAAAAATTGAGTATCGGAGATTGTTGCTTACGTAACAGCCTTCGGACATTCTTAAAGCGTACACACAAGCCACGCCACGCCACAGTGTGATTAATCAGAGCACGGAGACACGTGATGCAAAAAATCTGGCAACAGCGTATATAATGGTGTATTACTATTCGTAACCACCGCGCCGAGTTCGGCAGACCAATGTTACGCACGCTAATTGGCCTCTGTACATTATCCGTGCGCCAATCAGCCGCGGCGACTCTCTCGCGCTCTCCACTTCCGATTTCTATTGCCTTCAGGGACGTGCCTATTAGATCGCTACGCACCTTCTGTTCGCCAATACAAACACTACACAACAGTGAGAATTTTTTTTTTTTTAATCATTCTAAACATACCTCGAAGATAAAATTTCTCGGCTATTAGGAACGTTATATTATTTTTCTAGTTAAATGAGCGTGTTAATAAAATAAGAGGTTATTAACTTTTGAAACATAACACAGTCGCTCACGCGATATCAGATAATTGTCAATAATATTTTACGAAGAAAGTTACTTCATTTACATATCTAAAAATTATTCCTATTCGTTTCTTAATCATTAACACACCAAATTACTTAGTTTTACCAATTAATCCGCATGAATATTATCATTGTATAAGTAATTCAAGATTAGCGGTTCAATTTCCGGGCGCGCGGTATTTGAATTTCAAACGCGGCCGCTCGTTTTATATAATTGGAGAAAAGAAGTTACGAATTGCGTGAATTCGATTAAGAAATTTTCATAGACAACCGAAAATAAACTGAAACCACGATCGTACTTGAATTTTCTGCCCTCCGTTCGTTCCGACAACGTAAACGGGTTAAGTGATAAAAAGAGCACGACAATTGCACCGCGATGCTCTGTTAGACGCGGATATAATAATAAACGAGAACGTCACTAGCTGCATCCGTTGTTCATATATCGGGACATCGAGATGCACAATCGCTATTATAACTTTGCATAATCGCTATTGAAAGTTTCTTCTTTTTTATTAATCTATTATTCCAAATTTTATGTACCGATCACCCAGTGCCGGATGGGGGCGGGTACACACAAGTGATAGGGGCCCCTTTCGCTACATAGTCATTTTGGAGAAGGATGCCCGCGGGGAAGGACGAAAATCTGGGACCATCGCCACTTTTCTTGGGGACGCCTAACGTGGTCGCGAGTGTACCATTATTAGAAATTTATTTTTGAAATTTGCAATGTTTTCACTAAAGTTCAAATACTGCACAACGTATTAAAAGAAGCAATTTCCTGTTTCACTGGGACGATGACGCACACGCGGATAAGAAACGATAACGTTATATCCGTATCGAGCAAATTTCATAATGAAAAACAGAAAAATATAAAGTGTATAAATGATCGAAGATACACTGTTTCTTATTTTTACCTAACCTTGACCATTATATCCATGTCCTTCGCTCTTATTGTTTTTCAGAAAACGTTCGCTACTATTAACTGATTCGACCTTATACTCTTAATATTTTGCATGTTTCGACGGTTTAAAAAGGATTCAATAGAAATATTTAATAGGCGATACAGTAGACTCTCGTTATATTACCACGAGAACGATTTCAAAACAAATTTTCAAGTACTGCTTTTCCAGTATCATAATTTACAAAATTGATATACTTCTATCCTCTCTTTCCCCTCCAAGAAGCTTGAAAAATCTACGCTCCTACTGCCCCGTCCATGGCAATATAACGAGAGTCCACTGTACGTGTAACGTAGCAGAAGCTACATCTTTCAAACCAATTAATTAAGGACCCTATCGTAAGTGAATAGTGTAGAAATAAGGTAATATTTAGAAGAAAATAAGAAGAAAGAAAGACAAACTACACATAGAAGATGTGCTAAGCTCACCCTTGCTCCGAGAAAGCGAGCCTCCAATAACTCCTGCTTCCTTGGGTCCAGGGCGGCCTGAAAGTGCTCCATCTTGACGCCAGCGCCTGGAACAGCACGGCATGACGAGTTAATCGAACGAAAGGAGCTTTTCAAATTATCAAATATATTTATGACAGTATTAAAATATCTCTCTAATCGTAGGTGTCTACCTGAGAGTGAAACTCACACAAGATACTATCGATAGTCATACGTAATATGATACATGCTAAGAATTATTTATTATATTAGCAAAGAAATCATTATTGAATTTTTTCAATGCAAACGTTCAATTTGGCACGCCACATTATTAATGAAATTCAAAGTTTTCTTTCTTTCTTTCTTCTTTTTTTTAGCATTAAGGGTTGAATATAATAACAATTATTCAGAATATTATCGTCTAATTGTACAATTAAAATATACCTGTTTAAAATCCTAAAATAATATGAAATACAAAATTTAATTAAAATTGGGACTCTCTCCATGGTCCGCCGTCCTAAGGGTTCAGCGGACAACAAATTTTAGAGAATTATTATAAAATTTTTCTATGGTATTGTAAGAATGGTATCGTATTATTCGAATTAGAAAATATGTTTAAACTAATTGTGAAAAAATATGCTAAATCCCACCCCTGCTTGGAATTTGATCGCGAACCCTCAGGAATAATAACCGGGCACGCTATCCGCTACATCAAACTCCTTATTCTAGAAATTTGTTTCTCGTTCGTGATTCTACATAGTTTTCCTATGTTTAATAGAATTAAATTGATATTATAAATACGGTAGCAGTAGAGGGACCCGTTAGATGCGGTTGCGGTGGTGGTAGAGGCGATCGCAACGATCCAGGGAGTGGCCAATAGTTGCGGCCGGTAGCTGCGGCTATATCGGTGGCAGCCAATCAAATTTCTACGTCCTCTGACTACATTAAAGTAATTTTCGAATACCACATTGACGAACTAACTTTGTACGCTTTGATAGACTAAATAATATGGGATACTGCTGCAAAATTACTACTAATCCATCAGAATTTCGATAAACTTGGGAGAGTCTTTATAGAACGAATTCTTGCATTAATTTATGTTTTGAATTTGTATATTATTGTTTTCGTTAAGAATTTTTATTTACTGATAAAGTCTTTTGAAATACAACTGTTGATGTCAAGATTTTGTAAGAAAAACATGAAAACATCAATTACCACCCCCTCTAGGATTCGAACCCGAGTTCTCAAACAAAGGGTTAGCCGGCAACTTTACTCACTTCGCTAAACCGTCAACCCTTAATTTCAATTTTTAAAATTTCTTATATCGTGCCTGAATCAGAGTGAAATTTGTACATATTGTTACTTTACGTATTTCAACGAGGACATTCTCTAGCGAAAGCTGCTGGTAATATAATACAATATTTAGAGAAAGTACAGCTAATGTTTATATTATAATATAACGTTAGTTTGATAAATTTCAATCAGAAGACAAATATTCAGATATGATTAAAATTTTCACAATCTACACTAACCTATGCAAACAAAGTAAAAAATGATATCATCTTATTTTCTTAGAAAGATACCTGAGCAAATATGTGAGTCACTGTATTTCATTATTTTTGATATTTTTAATGCGGTGGGCTAATTTACTTGGTATTCTGAAATTCATAACCAGCACAGGATATCACAGAAACATCATATCTCTGTATAGAACAGTGTCGCTATCATTTTGCGATAATGTTACGGGTTGAATGCTTCATTGTTGCAATTTGCTATAAATACCTATGAATATTGTGTCGAAGTAAAGATAATTTTCAGCTGTCTGCTAGCTATTCTTATTTTAGAGCTAAAAATCTAGTCTACAAAAAAACTCTTTTTTTCTTTTTTGATTTTCGATAATCCATCTCCGAAGAAGAGTGGTTACCACAAAACACGTTTTAAAAATATGCTTTCAGTACATTCACCGTATTTCCTATAATTTCCAATATTTTTCTGTGCAAAAATTACTAGAACTGTGTGAAAGTATACTCTTTAAAGTGCAAAAACATTGATCCAAAGAAAGTCACGAGTTTTCCTTAAATAAAATCCCAAAGACGCGTCTTGTTTTGACCGCTCGTGCTAATCACACCATCTTAAATACCAAGGTAAAAATAGTCACAAAGCATAATAGTATTCTTAATTAATTAATAACAATCGATTAGAAATTTCATTAGAATTGAAATGACAATAGCAAAGTTTAATTTAATTAATAGTCAATCAGAGAATTTGATAAGGGTTTAATGATTTTAATACTTGTAAAACAATCAATAAAATATATTCAAAGAATAAAGGAAAATTTTAAGAGAATCAAAATAAATGGTTGAAACGTTGCGAAAACATGAATAAGTGAATGTTATTTTCCCAAAATTCAGAATAAATTTACTATTCACTGGATAAGAATGTAATGTGATTGTAAGTAATTCCACAAGAACAAGGAAATCCGTGCAGTTGGGATAATAAAAAAGTCTGAAGTTTCCTCATGGATCTAAAAATAATTAGCAAGGCAGTACTAGCAGGATACGTTTGACTCATTCCAATCTATTTAAACACTACACTCTGTAGAACATTGACTCACAATCAGAAAAATGTAGTCAATTATACGTGAATTTTCACATAGATTTTCGTCATAGCTTGGTACATTATAAACAGAAGATACGAAAAATAATATTTAGAATACTTTCATTTAAACAAGATAGTATTTAAAAATTTATTTTACTCGACTTATAAAATGAGAATAAATTTATCTCTGCAGCTACTTTTGTATCTTATTTCTAACACTGATCTTGAACACATAAATGAAAATACTGGTATGCTTAGAAATTCGTGTGAAGGTCAAATTGCTCACGTGGCAATATAACGAGAATTTACTGTAGTGTGCTCGATAAGCCCTCATCAAGTGTTTCTAAGCTTAAGATATGTACGTATTATATACATTGAAAATTATAGCTTTCTGTAATTGATCACGATACGACAGTTTCTAGATACTGGATTGATATTGGAATTAACTGATTATGCAACTAGACGAGACGTTAACCTAATTATCTCCTTTTTCGGGTCAAACCACCGAAGGAGTTCACCTGACAAACAAAGCTTACGACCTGCTCCGCTTTTTACCTTAAACTACATCTACACTATTTTTATAAAACTGTTTCATTAATAATAAATAAAAAAAATTATATTTCAAATTGTTATAAAATCATTAAATAAATGTGACTACAAATCAATCTTGAATACTGTTATTAAATGAAATTTCTAATGTGTTATTAAGGTTTTTCATTAATGTTTCCATTGCCCAAGGTTTTTCATTAGTTTCCATTGCCTCGTCTATTATTCATTGTTCGCTATCATGTTTCCTATCACGAATGGAACACACTGTTGCAGAGTATACGACGATAAATTTATCGAGGGTTGAATAGTAAAAAAAAATTAATTTTATATAGAATTTGCATAAATAAAAAGATTCTAATTAATATTAGCGGAAATAGTTTAGATGTTCGATTTATCACTAGATTGCCGGACTCACATCAAAATAGGTATAACACATATAGATTTTTGGAACTAAGGATTGGGAAGAAGAAGGAATTAGTATTTATTTACATTTCATAATTCTATTTAAAAAAATGATTTAAGTTTCTCTATATATATAGCAATAAAATCGTAAATCAGTCAAATTGACTCGCTCCGGCAATCTAGTGTTAAAATGAACATCGCGTATACATACTAGGTGAACAGTGGGGTCTCTTTCCCCTACATTGCTTTTATCCCTAGGGAAGTCTACTATACCCGATACTGTACGATACAGTATGAACTGGTTTCCCAGCACGGATCATTTCATACCCTAATACATTTTTCTGTTCATCAAAAATAATATTTTTCGAATGTAAATTTTTCTGGCCTAGGTGTTTCATTCAACTGGGAAGAGCTGTCTTTGACCACATAGACCTTTGTGTCTTCGTTAACGACAGATAATATATAATAACGAGAGATAAGTTACCGCGTTATCTTCCACTCGTGTTTACTAAACGCTTCCTTTTTAAAACTGTGTTGTATACTATGATGGTTAAATTCTGGTGATAGAAGCAAATCTTACTAATACATAAAAATATTGAAAAAAAAATTTCTTAAATCAGAACCCAATTATTGAAACAGGGCTATTAGCTATCCCTTAATTTACTTTTAAGTTAAAAAGAATGAAACATTATTAAATATTTGATATTGTTAGTAAAGCTAAGGGATCTAGACCATCCTAAAAAAAGAAATCTTAGTTACGCCAATGCTTAAAAATTATTCTTGCACGGTTAAGCTGATATTGCACCGAGTGCCTCATACGTATTTCGACCGGTTTACAGAAGCCTAATAGCGATGTTTCTTAATGAATTTCAAGCGTAATTCTCTGTTGTATTACGCGACTCATCATGCGTGGCATACATGTTATTGTAGTTATTATGCATTGGAACTGTTGATTAATATGATCCACCGTTATAAAATTCGTACTTTGAACAGCAAATAAGTTTACTTAGGAAATTTCTGACTACTACATAAAAATCAAACGTATGTTTGTTCCCTAATCACTAAGCACATAATTCACTTGAAAACTGGTACATTAACTACGATATGTATCTTTATGTGTAGGAAGTTATTCATTAATAATCATCGCCATTTTCTCTAAAAGAGCCTACTATGCTCAGAACTATACACATACATTAAGTATAAAAATTAATTTAGTGCCTTTCATTAATTACGACTCTAGATTTAAATACTTTCCCGAGCAATCAATAAAACATATTTAATAATTAATGTTACTATCATTTTTCAGAAATAAATATTTAGTTTATTTTTTTTTCTAAGGCATCAAATTAACTTGTACACTTAATACATACACACATACGTACATACATACTTTTCTACACCGGATTTCATCATATTCGGACTCGGGCAACTTCAAAACGTAAAGATCTGCAAAAAAAACCGAATAATCAAATTTTCACTGATTTGTATATTATATTTTTTTTATTATATTTTTTATATAATAATCAGACATTGGCATAACTATATATGTTGAAATTCTAGAATACTAAAAATTTGGAAACCTAATATTTTGAAAGCTTAGAATTTTGGAGTTCGGAAAATCTAAAATTTCTTGTAATATAAAGATTCATAGAATTATTATGTTAGGTTAGGTTAAATCTTTAATTGTATTTTAATTGTTAGAGGAAAAAAGATGAATCTTAGAAAGTATTGGAAAACCGTTATTCTTGTAACGCTTACGTTCTCGACAAGACAAACCATCGTTCAGAGCAAGCCAATAATACAAAACAAATCGAAGAATTGTTTTTGCAATGGACATTTATGCACGCTACGGCTCACTGTGTACAGTATCGAGCAAAGTAGGCTTCCATAGGGAAAATGGTACTCTAGAGGAAACATAAATTTTCATAACCTTAATTTGAAAGATATGTTTTAATATTAACAGTAGTTTAGAAAAAATAATATGAATTTTTCATTATGAAATATTACAAAATAACTGAAAAATATGAATAATAAAATAAATATCAAGTAAAATTTTCTCATGTAAACATTTAGATGCAAGTGACAGAACTATGGATTTCCGTGTATTTAAAACCGTATCTCCTACCATCGCCATTTTCCCTGGGGAAGCCTACCGTGCACGCTACTGTATAATAATGTAATGAGGAAAAAACATTTCTCAAGAATGATCAAGAATTCAGCAATAAAGAAAGTAATATGTACATGTACAACTATTAACTGATTTCTATTGTAGTAATTACTTTAATTATAAAAACTGTAAATTAACTCCATTTCTCTTGAGTATCTTCACAACGTAAAATCACGACAACGTAGAAAATGGAAACTTATTCCACATCTGCCATATTTAAATTTGTATAAAAATTTTTTTTACTGATCCAATATAAATTGTACGTTTTCCCTAAAATGCTATATTTTTACCAGTTCTTTGTCAGTATTGTATTTCACACGTGGACGCGGTTTAAGGTTATTCCCTATTCCGCCATTAACCCTCGAAAGACGGATGCTCTACACCGCGGTTGTTTCATACAGGGTCACTTTAACGCATAAGAATGCTATTATAATTGTATTAAAAATTGAAAATGTATTTAACTACGTCAAAGTACATATGTACACTAACAGAAGTACACATAGGAATATGCAATTCATAGTGGATCAAAATGACTCTGCATTCGGAGTGTAAAGATTAGAATTAGATTTAAACTCTCGATCATACGTTAGACCAATAAAGGTTAATTAATCTAGAAACTTAAAAATTTGTATTTTGAGGTGTTGAACATTAAACTTAAGAATTTTAAATTTCGAAATATTCAAATTTCAAAACTTTAACCCTTACGCCTCGAATGCCGCGTTATACTAATCGGTTATGTATTATATACCGGGTCAAAATAACCCCGCTATTCGCTATTATAATTGTGTCTTTTAAATATTATAAATCTTGCTTATCCAAATATTAGAAGTTTTAGAAACTTCTACAATGATTGAATTATAGTTCTTTTTCATTATTTATTTCTCCAACAATTTCATTAATACAATGCTCTAAGATTGAAAGCAAACTTTACTGAGACCTTTAACATTATATCTCAGTTAATAGTTGAACAAATAAAGCAAACATTTTTTATAAAACAATCTTTTTCATGCTAGAACGCTCAACAGAAAAATAACTGCTAATGAATGATTAAAGATAATGTGTTTATGTTTATAAAATGATAGTAAAAGGTAACTAATGATTATGAACATATAGTTTCCTCAATTAGCAACTTACTATGTTATATTATAGTAAAATTGATACAATTTTTAATTCTATTTGCTCCAATGTATAATGTTGCAAAGATAATATTATTTTCTTGTAATTACAAAGAAAATCTTGCCGTCTCTCAGCAATGATATTGTCACATGAGCCTATGGTTAAAACATTAAAAGTGAAACTTACCACCACCAGAATTCCAGCAATTATCAGTCATCCCTGTTTATCCATCTGTAAAGTTGCCGCTACATTATTACACTGATATCCAACTTGTTCTGTTACATCACATCACTAAAGTCTTCACCAAAGTAATCACTCTGAACGCACAAGTAAACTTAGATCTGATCAATGGTAATACACCAATAGAATCATCTTATTCCCACAACACTATTTTACCACATAATCATTTATAATGATAGAATGAGATATTCTAATTAACCCCACAAATAAGAACACATCTAGAAACAGTGGCAATTGGTTAGTCAACAAATAGAATGGTGAGGTTATGTTAGCCCCGTGAATGAAAAGGAGCCATATGATAAATCGTGTACCTGTTGTGCGGTGAAAATACTTAAAGCCGTTTTCTCATCGCGCGATTCGCTTCAGGTTACCGAGACGAAAATGAATTTCTACTTGTAAACTAGGCCTGACATCATGAAGTCACAGGAACGCTCGTAATACGTGATTACGAACAGACGAACACACGGCAATGGGGGGTCTCTGTATTGTTCACCCCCCCTCCCCCACTCAGACTTGATCGCATACACGCATACACGCAAACGAGCGTTCTTCTTTGCTACTTCCCTAGATAATTCTTTCTTATATGCTCCAACGAATATTTTCAACGTACCTCGCAACACATAATAAAAGCACCGGTTTTCTTCTTTGCGATTTCTTTCTCTTTCACGACATAGCGCACTTTGCTTATCGAAAGAAAGGGGAAAACTCATCTGGAAAATGGCTGCCACAGGCCACTTACTGATTTATCGCTTTTTCGCATGGCTACTTTTTGCCCACGGGAACAATAACACGAATAGTATAACCGACGCGATAAATAGTCACCGATTACGCGAGAACGTGAACGTAGATCCTAGACGCCGGCACACACGTAATACATCGCACTACTTGCTACTCCGACCGAGTATACGTACTAGTTTTTTCTCTTTTCTTCTGGAAATCTTATACACAGACGCGTGCGAAGAACACAGCACTTTGACAGAGGACTTTTTTGCGAATGAAGATGGTTTAAGGGACGAGATACGTGAGCGTCTTGAAATCACCCCGATTTTCTTTTGCACGTATTCGACGACAGTGACGTCGCTTCACTATAGCGCACTCATACGGTTCCTCTGTCTCACTCGCATCAATAGTCGCGTTCGCCACCTTACAACTTCGGCTATTATCGGTGAACTACGATGTTTATTCGGCGCATCGGCTGACCAGTCACGGTTCATACCGCATCTTCCCTGCCTCTTGTCGTCGTTTACCTATTGCTTTCGGATTAACTAGACTTTTAATTAATATGCGGATGAACATTTTTTTTCTTAAAATGGGTCTTAATTGATAAGAAATTACATTATATCTTACATATCTAAAAAGTGTATGTATGAAACACCTTTTCAATTTTAAATTAGTATTTTGTAATTTGTTATTAAACTTAATTTGGTTATGCGAATAATTTTTCTTATTGGTTATCGTTATAGATACTACGTGAACCATGTAATTAAAAAATCTGTTAAAATAATAGTTGACATAAAATTTGTATTCAACGATAATTCAAATGATAAGTTATTAAAAAATATATGGAAATATTCGAATTTATATTAATTACTTGATATGGCTTAAATAGTTGTATTTCTTTCGTAATTAAAGTTCGTTTCATTCAACAAATTACGCGCGGGATATTTAAATATATGCCTGTGCTTAAAATTATAAAAATTATACATATATTTTTAAATAAAGAATAATTGTAAATGCACTAGTATTTTTGCATTATAGTTTAATTTAATATAATAATAACTGATATAAAAAATTTTCAAGTATTTATATACGAGACAACCTATTTTCATAAAAATAATAATTTTTTTTTTCGATTCTAAACATTTTATGAATTATTGAATATTAATTACAAATCAAATGTATTATCATAGAAATAGTCTCGTTAAAATAAACAAATTTTATATCATAAACAAACACACATTTAACAATAAATAACAAATAATTACTACCTTTAACTTTGGTATTGTTAATTAGTCCTATAAAAGTTACTCACAAACTTTGTTTTTTTATTTTCTCGATAAAAATTTATGTAATACATAATAACAATCACTACAATAAATAATTAATCACAATATATTAGATGTACGAATTAATTCGGTGTCTTTGCAATTACGCGTTCTTAATTGTTATTTGAAATTTCAGTATTTTCCCGCGCTTCTGTGGATTTGAAAAGTGGCGCGAAAATATGATTTGAATAATTGGAGTTATTATAAGTTTTAAAATATAAATGTTAAATTAAGGAATGAAAATGTACCGAATTAATTTCTACACTTAATACATCATATACTTTCATATTCTAATTAACATAAACAATATTTTTATACGAGTACGTACACTAAATGTATTTATATATACAGCTGTTGATTCGAATGCGACAAGTACATAAACTTCTTTATTTTGTTAAATTAGCATGAAAAAAACAATTGCACGGCATCTACAATCGAGGAAAATTAAACATAAATAAATATAAAACGCATATTATCACATTTATAAAACCCTGTGTTACATTTAACAAAATTTTCCTTCGTATCTCTTGCGGAAATTACAACTAAAAGTTTTTCATACATATGACTCATAAAAAGTATAACAATGAAGTTATGGCTAACGGATACAATGCAAATTGACTAGTATAGAATTTGATAACAGAAACCTAATAATGTAGAGTAATCATTAACTTTACATAAATTTATTTGTAGTATAAATAAATCATAAGTTCTATGCCAACATATTTGGCACTCGTATTTAAATGAAAATTTGATAACTTCTTTAACTGCTATATCAAGCTTTCAGTAATTACAAATAAAATATCACAATTATTAATAAAACAAAAATGTAATTTATAATAACATAATAAATTTTTCTATTAATAGGTAATGCATTTTTATTTGGCCGCTATAAATGTATTCGTCGAACAAAAATTTATTTAACAGAATTTAATACGAAAAAGAAAAATGAATTCCATATTTTATCTACATTTATATATTATTGATTATATGTTAACATTGACTAATTTAGCATATTATAAACAGTCTATATACTTATTACAAGTGTAGCATTTAAATGTGTTATAATTTATATAAATATAAATAAAAAATTTCAGAACATATAAACCACAATTTAATTCTTTATAAGAAATTGTTACAATTATATATATATTTTTAAATATTTTTTTTCGTAACATAATTTTATGTGTATTGAAATTAATTAAATTCTGATAATATAAAAGTTTTTATATTCTCAATAAGAGAATGATACTGAATGAAAAATATGTAATGAGCAATATTGTGAACATGTTTAGATGTGTTATTGAGGTTTACGAATTGAAAGAATTCATAACATATGATGTACGTAATATCGTGTATGTGCCACTGGCGTAACTAGGAGTCAGAGTGGGTTTGATTCTACCCCTCCAGAAAAATGTGAATTGGCACCCTCAACATTCTAAAATCTTGTCATAAAATCGTATTGCAATACAAGTAAGTATTTTGTCCGAAATGCAACGTATAATGCAACTAACATAAATTATAATCAATCAATATTAGAATGAAGTTAGAATGACACAATATTAAATATTTAATACTAATAGTAAATCTAAACTCCCTATTCCACCCCATACAAAAATCCTAGTTAGGTCAATGGTATATGACTGTCTAATTATACTCAAGGTAAAATAATATTAAACCGCTATGAATGAATTGTTTCAATTGATATGCTTGTTTCAAAAAATCCTATGTACAAAACCTAAAACTGCAGGTACTTTTCAATTAAGAGTATCTTTCTATATAAATAATAACATAATAATTGTACAGTACCGAGTATGGTAGGCTTTGCTAGGAAAAATGATGTTCTAAGGGAAAAAGGTATCACTAATTGCCTGTAAATATTAAATGAGAAGTTACGAAATTTCGAGTTTTATAGTTTCAAAATTTTAATGTTGAATTTTGAGTCTCCTTTCCTATATCGTCATTTTTCCAAAGGAAGCCTACTATATTCGGTACATATTATACACATTACATAGTAATCAAGTGTGTTAATAAACACTTATCTTCGTTTCAAAAGAAAGAAGAATTAATAACTAACATAAAAAAATATTAAAATAAAATGTCAATTAAAATCTTGTATCTCCTTTTTACCACACTATATATCACATTAATAATCTACTGTTCAGATTTAAATTTCTTACCTGAAACTTTTCCTTCAGATTTCCTGTTTTACACACCAGCAATTTGCATTGTATGAATACTATTCTTGATCTACCATATTTTTTGTATAGTAAGAAACAATATCACCTGTTACATTTGGTTTTAGAAATCATCTTTTACAGTTACGGTATCAAACAATTCGAACTCTCTTTATATTAATCTACAGTCACCTCTAGATTTGTATTATTAGTGGATACGTTCATTTCTTCGTCCTCGATAGCAGTTTTATTGGTTATATTTGAAAGTGTCTGATGTATAATTGTTTGATTGTCAGCCTTTCCTTCTTCGACAGACTGAACCGTTGTTAATGTACTCCACCAATTAGAGAATGCCCCTTTAGCTTGGGAAAGTGCACCACCTGTCGAATTGACAAATACTTTTCATATTTATAATTCTGAAACTTTAGAATTTTTAATTTTCGAATTTAGATAATCTGGAATCCTTCAATTTTTCGAATTTGGCAATCTAAAATTTTACATTCTAGAATTTCAGAATTCAGTAATCCCAGAATTTGAGAATATTATAGGCCAGTCAGGGGGCGGTTCATTTTGGTCCCTTCCTAGTTACGCCAATTTTTATATAAAATATATGTTCAATTCAACTAACCTACAGCTTTTCCTGTCGTCGCAACAGCTCTTCCCGTTGACGCCATTGCTTGATTCAATTTCCTTCCACTTTCTGTATTCTGCATCGTGCTACAATACAATTAAATAATACACTTTTCCACTTTATTATTTTATCATTTACAATCCGGTTGTGCGAATTTCATTTCACGTGGATTTTAAAACACTATAGCGAGAGTTTACTATAATTAATAAATGCTTACTGCGATAAACGTAACTTCATATCCTGCACGGATAACTGTCCTGCGAATGGGTGACCAGGATCTATACTATTTATTTCCGGCTTATTAATACTGCTCCAGATTTTATAGTTATTCGTTGCCCGCCAGGCAGCCATGAACGCAGAATTATAATGGTCAGACTGTCTAGTATCTTGTTGCATGGATGTCCGCAACATGCTTAATAAGTAAACTCGAAACTGGGTTCTGATCCATTCATCTCCACCTTCCCATCCTACGCCGTCTAAAAAAATATCTTTACGGGGCTCTGAGACATGTCTGACTATATAATCTGCAAATCTCAGATCCTCCGTAGTGAGATGCAGTTGTCGTCTTAATTCTGGATCACTTGTTTCTATCCGTGTATTTTCAACCTTTCGTTATAATAAAGAAATGTACCATCAGTAGAAGCAAAAATAAAATTTTAAGATAAATAAAAAATTTTGTTTAAGAATATAATTTATAATTACCTCTACTAATACATCGATAAGCTGTTTCTTTTGCTTGAACAAAACATTCGTTGCCCCAACTATGTAGCCTCTAACGTTAATATCAGCTAAAAGATCCAAATATGGCAAGGATAGATATGGTAAACATAAATAACCCTTTGGAAAAGAAATAATTTGTTAATTCATTAAATGCTATAATTATAATAATAGCATTGGCGTAACTAGGGATTTTCTCTGGCATGGGTCAGGTTCCTTAGAACATCTGGAAATTTAATATGTCGGAAATCTGGAATCTAAAAATTTTGGAATTTTTTAATTCTATAATTTCTAAATTTTTGAATGATAAGGGGGTCACGGTCTACATTTTCAGGGGAAGGGGGACCCACCCTGGCTCCTGCCTAATTACACCAATGAATAATAGTTTACACTTTCATACCTTTGTAAATATATTTAAAGGTAAACCACAGAGTTCTGGATTTATATGAGCAATCTGAGTGATATTATTTGTCAAACGTGCATCTGAAAGTGCATCGTTACTTGTATCGCGTGGCAATGGATTATCAGTATCCGTTGTGCCTAATGTAATTGTGTTTACACTCTGTACTCTATGTACATTATCATTTGATTTAGACGAATACACAGAATTATTTTCTTCCGCGTAAGATTCAGTGCATTCTTGTGCTGATTCCACTTCAATGACTTTCATGCCTAAATTTTCATTCTCATTGTTGTTCTTTTTAAATTCATCTAAACATTTGCCTTCCATTGTTTCAATATCTTTATTATCATTTATACACAATGAGTTTCTGTTCGAATTCCCGTTAATGTGTTCTTTTACTGTATCTGACATGTTGTTTTGCACGGAATTCGTAGATATATTATTATCAATGTTCTTTATTGATATTTCTTCTTCGTCAAATGTAGGAATGGGTGACATAGGTCTTGATGGTCTAAAGAAATATAGATTGAAGAAATAGAATATAGTATAATAGTAATAGTCATAGTGTAAGAACATAAGAGAAGCTGCAGTACACAAGTACATAAACGGACTGTAGTCCTGTATTCTACCGCGCGTTACTTTATATTTTAAAGTTGACGGTGTTTTATGAAAGCCACACGCGAAAGCACACCTTATATCATTAAAGAGTAGGCAAGATCTATTTGGCTCTGACTACTAGGTCCTGGTTCCTTTTTAATTACTCCACTACTTATAAATAATACACATTACCTAACACATGCAGCTTGTTGCAAGCCATGTTCAATCATCCCAGGATACAAGGAAAGTAATGTTAATATTGTAGCACATAATGGTTGCACTGGGGACTGATAGAAAACAATCTTCTTCTCCAACAGAAGTAATTTAAATAATAAAAGAACTTTGTGACGAAATTGCAGTATGAAATCTCTTGCAGACAATCCTACAAGCATTAATATTTAATAATCTAAATGTATATTTTAAATTTTTAAAAAATTATTAGCAATATTTCATAATTACCAACAAACACTTGGGGTGGTATCTGACTTTCACTGCTCATACAAGAATTAAGATGATGATAAGTATCTTCTAATAATGACACTTTACTAAAATCTCCTTCATCAAAATATGCGTGTGTTATCAGAGCCATTTTCACTTGAATATGACCATATAATGGTAAGGTGCTTAACACGCAAACAGATTTTTGAACTGTACCTCTTGTTATATCAGATGTACGATTCTTTAATTTCTAGAAAAATAATTATTAATGTTATTCTAAGTCTACAACAGGTTTAGCCATAATTTTCATTACCTCAACAGGAATTTGTCTGAAACATGAAATTCCATATACCGTACATTTTGGATCATTTAAACTGGGTAAATGAAAAAAGACTGTATCTTCATCATAATTATGAGATCCATCTGGTAAAGCAAGAGTGGGTAAATATTTCCAACCCAAAGGGCATTCATTTGGAGCTCCAGGTACCAATGGGGGAAATGAATATTCTACCTGATAATGAATACATATTATTATAATGAAATAAAAAACACTATCATATGTATACACATATTTGTGTATTAATTAGGCATTATAAATTTTTGAATAAAAACTAGTTCCTTTATAAGCAACTTACTTGACACCCTTTCTTGTGATGAAATCCGACAACAATTACATGAAGTATTGGTCCAACAGATTCTGCCATATTTTCGCGATATATGTTAAACAAAATTTATTCGTGATGTAAAATTTGATTTCTATATTAATTATCCCCTTTCATTTCAAATGAATAAAATCGTATTTCTTTACTAATAATAAAGGTATAACAAACGTACAGTTAACACGCGCTTTCAAGCACCATGTTAATTTCACGCCTACCAACCCACCGGCCAGAGGCATAGAGATATAAGAATAGAGTGAAACTATATGGTAAAGTGGGAGTGTGTGCTACACAGCAATAGAAAGAAATCACTACAGTTCATCTGTCACACGATTTTCCCTAGGTTTTATTAAAAATTATATAATGTTTTCAAACTATTGTATTTTTAAATATATTTTATTTCAAATTATTATTAAACATTATTATGTGCATAAACATTAATATCTGTTTGATATTTGGTTATCCGAAACTGTTCACATTGTTCAATAATAATATACAGTGATTTAATAATTAAAATGATTTGTATTTACAAAATTACATATTTCTCTATCTATAGTAGTAATACTTCCCTCGTTTATAAAATAAAATTAATAAAAAAAGACGAATAATCACTGAAATATAACAGAGTGATATAAAGAGAAATTCATTTATTGTATAATTTCTTTCAACGGCTTAAATATCATGTACAAGTATAGAAAGTAAAATTTCTCAGTCTCTATCACATATCGTAATGTGTTCCCAGTTTAATAACCATAAATTTTCATTTTCCTTTTTAATCAAAATTTTTTCAAAATATAACAGACATTAACATAACATATTGGTACAAAATGTTACCATTTGTATCATCACCAATTTTTAGTCTTGATCTGTGCAGCCCGCAGTGTAGCTTTTATGCTCCGATCGGAGCAACACGCTTGTATCTGGTCGGAAACGTTAACCTGTTTCCAACCATCAGCCTCATAGCTGCCTCTCTTCTCCATGTCATAGACATGGAAGAAGAGGAAAATGATGGGTGGAAGAATTTTATCCATGGAAGACGCGCTACCTGCGTACATTGAATCCTCGTGTTCCATCTGGTCCAAGAGGCATACGTAAAACATTACTTGGCAAACCACTATTACTTGATGTAATTGTTTTTGCTTGTATTCTATTTATTTCGTGTAACAACTTCTCCTCTGGACTTTTTTCTTCCCCAAGAATTCTTTTTCTCGCTTCCGCATACTCTTGCTCTCTCTGTAAATATTCTTTAATGTATAACGTTTTTATGGTCCATATGCATGATTAAGTATACCTGTTTTAAGGATTTAATAGGCTGTTTCGGTTTATCTCCGTTTACTAACGGCCCATCGCCGCTACCTTGAGAATCTCTTGTGGGTCTCTTCAGGATTTTCACTGTTGGTCTTGGAGGTACATATTGGGATCTTATACCATCATCACCAAGCATTATCATTTTTGTAGTTGCGTTATGACTGGTTTTGAAGCTAAAACATATGGTAGAAAAGTAATTTATTTAAATCAATACATCAATTATTAAATCAATATTAATGCCAATTGTTATTCATGATTGTATGTTATACATTGTAAATATTTTCTTATTATTCGTAGGGTTATTTTGACAATTACTAAAATTTCTTGTCCTAAGGTTTGATCTTTCTGAACCTACCTAGAAGATTCTATTTCTTCTAATGCTTCTACTGCATTTAACTGGAGGGCATCCAATTTTTTCTCGAGAGCCTAAAATTCATTGTGATTAGAATTTAATTTTATAACAGACTATGTATTTCTAAGTTACTTTAATAGCTTGAATATTCTATGACTGATGTGGTAGTTGGATATAGAAGCACTTTGACCCGTAACAATTGTATATAAAATTTAAAATATAACTAAGTATATTATATATGCCCTGAAAGCAATATATGATTTACAATGGAGATAAAATGACCTTTGTAAAGGTTGAAATTAAACTCTAAAGTTAAATATTTTCGAAATTCTATAATTTAAATTTCAAAATTCAAATTTGCAATTATGACCTAGTGTGTATTATGTACCAATTGCCAATTAGATTTAACCTTTAAATCATAGGTTAGGTCAATAAAGGTTAATTAACCTTCACAATTCGAATACTTGATCATTTTAACTGAGTATGTAATTATATACTGGGTCAAAATGACCCTGCATTTAATATACAAAAGTTGAAGTTCAATGTTTAACACAATAAGGTTATTTTATACAAACATAAAAATTTGTGAACAATTTATGTTGTGAAGTGACAATTCAAATATCTTAATTAATATTTTATAAGTAATAACTATTTTTAATAAAATGATGAAGTATGTTAAACATACTTTTTCTTGCTATATACTGTGCTATCAATAGTCACATGGATATCTACTAATACCATATATATATACTATTTATGCATAAATAGAATATAAAAATAATTAAAATATAAGTATTCTTAATGATAGCAACATGTGTCATTATCTAATTGCCCATTTGTTATGCTCGTAAAAATGAACATATTAAAACCTTTCTTACAGTATAGGTTAATATGACTTGGTTATTAATATAACTTTTTACCTTATTATTTTACGTATATTAAGAAAAACGGACTTACTTCCGATTCTTCAATTTCTTCCCAACTTTCTAGAACGTCATCAACAGTTGACATTTTTCGATTGATATATTAATTTTTAATGCCTAAGTATCACTCTGGTAACTTAACAATACAGCCTTGGCATGAACCGAGGAAAGTATAGGCGAGTTCTTAGATTGGCATATATCTTTCAGCGAAAGGTAATTGTGTGTTATGTCACATTTGCCGAATAAAGAGACTTAATATTTTTTAAACAAATTTTCAGTTAAGTCTAAATTTTGTATTAAAATCAACATATGTGGATCAATTTATGTTAGTGAATATTGATTATTGATCTCTATGTAATTAGAGAATAGTATATATATATAGCTTTATTGATCTGATTCATAATATTATTTAGTTAAAGCAGCAGTATAAATCCTATATATGTTTTAATGTAAAAAATTTACATACATACATATATTACTAGCACGTTCAGGTTCGCTCTGTTCAATGGGACGTGTGTGAATAAGCAGTCTCTCATTCGCTCTTGTTTCTTATGTATATGCAAGAGAAAGATGGTTATTTTTGTTACCATTGCTATCTTTTTCTTGCATATAAGAAATAAGAGAGACACAATTGGATTTCGGAAAACTTTTCTTTACATCCCGTTGAATAAAATGAAGCTAAACGTATAGTGGACTCGAGATTATATTATATCTAGAAGAGGAGATGATGCTCTAGAGAAAAATAGTCCCACCATTTGTGTAAATGTTTATACAGAAAAATTTAATTTAATATTTAATTTTATAAAAAAAAAAAAATATAACCAAATATGACCCCGACGTGATTTGAACACGCAACCTTCTGATCTGGAGTCAGACGCGCTACCGTTGCGCCACGGAGTCTTATGTTCAAACCTTTTTTTATAATCTATTTCACGTCATATGTAACATAAATTTAACTTTTTTTTTGTTTTGTACAGTAAAAAAGATATTAAAACTGTTTCTAAGATGTTATAAAATTATTTAACAAATCTATTAATCTATTATAATCTGATCTATGAGAGAATACAATAAGGATGCGCAGTATGTAAGTACATATGTATTATGTATGATGTACGAATGTATGCATGTATGTAGGATTAAAAAACCTGTCGCTCATTGACAGCGTATAGTATACGGCGTAGAGGTGTATTACGTATATTTTGTCTCAATTTTTGTTGTAAGTACGTTTTATTTTTATTTCATTATTACATCTTATGTCTCGTATTAACTGTGTTTTTCATTTAATCAGGAATTTTGCTAAAATGGAACTTAAATTATTGGAAAGAATACGGAACCTTGGGTACGTAGCTAGAGGTTATAAAGTTAAAATTGAAATATGGTAATTTAAAATATTAAAATAGAACTTGTTAATTTTTGTATTTATTTAGTTGTAATGGAGAATTAAGAAATTATGATTATAATTATAGTTTCTGTTATAGTACTTTTAATATCTATTAAATTAGTTTTGCAATTTAACCCAATTTTTGTTATACAGATATAATGGAGAATTGGTGGAACCTAATAAATTTATGGAGGCCTTGAAAAGAGGTCCAAAATCTCCAGAATACACAAAGCTTGTATCATGGCTAACAGATGAAATTACTGTACTCAATGATATGGATGAAACTATTCATGCAATCACCTCACCAGATGATTCTAGTTCATTTCTATTAGAGTTAAGTTGTTTTCTTAAGGAATTAGGATGTGTAAATGAGAGATTAATGACTGGTAATGTTAATGAGCGATTGTCAACTGAACAAGATAGATATATCTTGTTAGATTTCTTAGGAGCCGAGTTAAAAACTTGCAGATTATTGGAATGTAGGAAATATAAAGATCCCAATTCTATGGCTATAGATGTTGTAAGTTTCCATTGCAAATCATCAGGGTAATTATTCAGCATTATATTTTATTAATGATACATGAACTTCTTATAGGAAGAAAGTGATACTGCTAAAGACTTAAAGGACATGTTAATAGCATTCAATTTTGAAAAACCACCTCCTGATATCACTACTGAAAAACTTTTCACAAGATTGGAGAATAAATTAACTGAAGTATTAAAAGCAGCTCCACCTGAACTGGTAGGTAAACCTCTACTTGATAAAGAATTCTCAGAAGCAGATTGGAAGGAACTCGAACATGTACAACAAGAATTACACGAAGAATATAGAATTCGTCGTGACATGTTACTAAAAAGGTTCGATGTAACCATGCAGTCATTTTTGGTAAATGCAAACAATCATTTTTTCGATAAAATTGGTGAAACTATTTGTGCTTATATAATCCAATTTTTTTTTTTTCAATGAATAGTGGTCAGACAGAGTAAAACCCCGAGAAGCTGAAATAAATAAACTATGCAAAGAAGCAAGGAAATTTTTAAGTGCAGAACCGGATATTACATTTGCTGATTTACTAGCAACAAGGGATGATATCGGATTAATGGAAAAAACCAGCAACGCGACTGTTAGAAAAAATACCCGAAGTGAAATTAACAAAATTATTATAGGAGCGGTACCCGACAGAGGTGGGAGACCATATGAACAAGAACCACCACCACCTGAAATGCCACCATGGCAAAAAGATAGAGTACCAGGACCTTCAACTTCTGGGTTAGTTAAAATTAAAGAAGATAATTTTAAAGAAAATAATTCGAAATGTACATTTATATGTTTTTACAATATTATTTTAGTGGAGGCTCTGGAGGTCGTGGAGGTCGTGGAGGTAGTGGTCACAGAGGTGGTCGAGGAGGAGGTGGTAGTTATCAGCATTCTATCTCTTTTTCCGGTGACACTAAAGGAGGTCGGGATAATAGTAATTTTAGTGGGGGAGGTTCATATGGAGGTAGTAGTGGTTTTGGAGACAGTGGTTATCAGAATTCAAATTTCTCCTCTAAAGGAGTATATGGCGGAGGACATAGTGGAGGACAAAGTGGAGGATATGGAGGTGTATATGGAGGAGGACAAGGTGGTGGATATGGAGGAGGTCAAGGTGGTGGATATGGAGGAGGACAAGGTGGTGGACACAGAGGAGGTCAAGGTGGTGTATATGGAGGAGGACAAGGTGGTGGACACGGAGGAGGACAAGGTGGTGGATATGGAGGAGGTCAAGGAGGTGGATATGGAGGAGGTCAAGGTGGTGGATATGGAGGAGGTCAAGGTGGTGGATATGGAGGAGGACAACAAAGTGGTGGATATAGAGGCTATGGAAGCAGGGGAAATAATAGTCATAGTGCAGATAACAATGGAGGTAAACAGGCAAAAAAGAGATTTTAAAACTGTACAATTTTAATGAGTAATTTTTTTATCCGTTATATAATTATATGATTATCGTCAATTCTTATTTCTTAGGATATGGTAATCAATACGGTTATTCACGATCTGAAGATAAAGGTGGACAGCAGTATCACAGAGGAGGTGGCAGAGGGGGCAGAGTTCAAGGAGGATGGAATCAAGGCTCAAATAACTATCAACGCAGTGGTGGATATAATCGAGGACGACAATATTAAAACAGCTTTATGGAAAATATCCTTCTTGTATTGTACCAATAGTTATACTAAAAGAAATGTGCTTTATTGATCGTAAGAATTAATATCAGTGACCTTCTACATAATAGATAAATGCATAATATTAATGTGTTCTGTTTCTAAATGTTTTTGTAAGGTTAAATTAAGAACTTTGATATTATTTCCAAAATTTAAATTATTTATTATTATTGAGACTGTAACAATGCCATATACTACTTTATAATATTTTGTTTGTTCAAAGTTAACTCTGGCTACGTATTTGTACTTGAATTTTGTAAATGTCCATTTTTTGTACATAGAATAGATCACGATTTTGTTGAAATTACTAATGATGTAATATGTGAAGGGATACAAAATTGGTTGATATTGTATAAAATATTTACTATATAAATATATGTTATAATTGCATGTCATTTATCAGATATATGACTATGCATAAAGGGTATAAGAAATTGTTTTTTTATTATTTTCTTAAGTTTATTTAAGTCGTGCCTGTTTTACCAGTCGCTCTTTTACTACAACTCTCGATCACAATTGAAAAGCCACAATTTTGACTCCCTTTGATTCTATTTCATTAGAGATTAATCAAGATCAGGACAATATCGAAAAAATAATAAAATAATTGTATGACAAACTTGTATTTTAAAAATACCGCCATAAATTAAAATTTTTTAAATTTGATCCTGGCGCTATCTATACAAAAACTGCTCAAACTTTTCAACAAGTTACCGATCGATTTTTTGAAACAGGAGTACAGGCGCTACCTGCTGGAAAGCAGTGGAAACTCCGCGACAATGGATCGATAACTTGCCGCATAGCTTCTGCTATTTGCCGGCAGACGGCGCTTGTGTTCCTGTCTTTCAAAAAATCGATCGGTAACTTGTTGAGTAGTTTGAGCCGTTTCTGTATAGATGGCGCTACTATCGAAAAATCGAAATACACCCCCCTACCTCGACGACGTCCGCAGACAGACTAACGCGCACCCCTGCCCAGCGACACTTACTCGGATCAGTTACTGTGGTTATTTTTTCTTTTATTGTAGGAAAATTATGCATAATAACCTCCATTGACCCCTGGAAATGAGCGGCGAGAGAGTGTCAAATTCCTAAACCACGGTAATCGGCATTAGCTCTAAAGAAGGGCTCCAGAACCTTATGTCTATTACCTTGAAGCCCTTCATGCCTAACAAACAGATACCTTTCTCGGGGGGAGATCCAAACTGTGATTTCCCCTTGGCGCCTACGCTGTCAAAGAGTTGGTTATACCCTTCTTTTTGACGCTGTGGCCGACATTGGGGGTTGCACCCCATAGGAGCGATATGGCCACCCTGAGCTCCAAACACGAGTGATGGAGTATAGTCGTTGATATTGAAGCAATCTGTCGTTACCGTCAACGTCCATTAGATTGTTGCAGTGCGAAGCGTTTTACATTTTTACACGAGGATATAGCAGATGGTGCTCGTTCTCAAGGCAGAATTTCAAGACTCCTCGAAAACAAAGGCATGTCTCGTCTGGTCGGATTTGTAGTCACTGCTGCTGGATAAATTGTTGTACCTATCTGATTTATTCGTTCGAAAACATAAGAAATTCTGTTATATGGGAACATTAAATATGATATTAAAGTGATCTGATACAACACTGAAATATTCCGCGCAACCTACGTCATAATAGATAAAACGCTGCAATCTATGTGTCATCTGATTTGTTAAGATTCAGTGTTTTGTCTGTCGAAGTGTAATTTTTTTATGAGTACTGTTATCGACCAACATAAAAGAAAGATGTGTTATCGAGAAGTGTCACAATTACAAAATACTTGATCGATTGATTCATCTGATTGTGAGGTATGCATTTACGAACGTCTACATGACAATTTCTTCTTTACAGAAATTATAATTTAATTTCACATTAAGTATAATAAACGTTTAACAAAAATTTAATAACTGTTGAGTATTTATCACAAATTAAATGAACATAAATTTCATGTACAAGGTTTATGAAAGAAGCTACATAAATTAAAGTTACCATTAAGAAGGAAACATGTCAGGTGGAGAAAGAAAAAAACGTGCTTGCGACAGAGGACAGGGTTGGGAAGAGGCAGGTGCTGAATTTTATCAGGAAAGTTATCCTGCAGCAATTGAAGCAGATTTACAGCAAGCGTTACAAAGAGATCCTTCTCATATAGCCACTTTACTCCCGAGTAAAAAGTCTAGAGTTGGTAAGTCTATGATTGATATAAGTTAATAATACATAAAATTATTACATCATTAATCCTTTGTTAATAGCAACATCTAAACGAATACGTAATGACACAAAAACAACATTAAGAAGACGTACTAGTACAAGGTCTCGTGGCACAACTACATCAAGACGTATGTCAACAAATATTCACGATGCAGCAGTGTCTATGTTGCCAGACTTGTCTGAAAATTTATCTAACGAGGAACGGACATGGGAAGAAATAATGCAAATTAAGGCTATGCCTGTGTGTATGGCGCAGAAGATACAATTAAAAAATCAATTGCAAGTATGTTAAATGACATTAATCCGAAATAATATTCATTTAAAATTGAATAGATATACAACATGTATTCATACTTTTTCAGAGTGCAACAAAATTAAGGTTGCAAGGCTTTGAACAATTGAAATGGCAACGAAGGAAAGCTTGGCAACAATTTCGTATTAGAATGAAAGAGGCCTATTCAAAAATGGAGTTGTGGAATGATAGCCTTAAAACAATTGGAGGAAATTTTGGAATGGGAATAGTAGCATACTTTTTATTCATCAAATGGTTAATGTATCTTAATATTCTTTTATTTACGATTATGTTTTTATTTATCGTGTTACCTGCAATATTACTCGATGTGCCAGAAGAAGAATCGTGTATAAATTCCAATAGCAGTAACAGTATAGCTTGCTGTTCACAACAATATTGGAACACGACTCAAGAAAATATCGGTATAACAGATATTGGTATTTTAGAATACACTTTATTATTTTACGGTGCATATACTCACATGAGTTATGATGCTTCTGGCATTTTTTACAATTTGCCATTATCTTATATTTCTGCTACTATTGGCGTGTTTATTCTTAGTTTAATAGCAATTGTTAAGTCTGCTGCTAAAAGCTTCAAACAGAGAGTGGTTGAAAACGAGGGTCAATTTTATCAGTATTGTAATTTAGTTTTTGGTGGGTGGGATTATTGTATACACAATGAAAAGTCTGCTGGGGTAAAGCATAAAGCATTATACAATGAAGTGAAAGCATTTTTAGAAGCTGAGAGATTAGAAGAGGAGAGACAAAATCGAACCAGAGAGGAGAAAACAAAATTGTTTCTTACGCGTTTATTTATTAATTTAATTATTTTAATGGTATTAATCGGCTGTGGTATATTTATTTATTATATATTTGAATTTTCATTCGATCAAATTTCATTATACATAGGTGAAAGCTATGATAACTATCTGTCGTTAAATAAAATTGTTGAGTTATTTTTTGAATTTCTTCCATATATATGTATTGTTGTTTTAAATCTTTTAGTACCGTTTCTGTTTCGATATTTGGTCACTCTAGAAAATTATAGTCCAGCATTTGTTATACATATAACTCTTTTGCGAACTGTATTTCTACGACTTTCTTCTTTCATTGTTTTACTCACTTCATTTTATAGACTAATCGCTGGCGATGTACCAGATAACGAATGCACTAATCACGATGCTAGACGTCCATTGTGTTGGGAAACATTTGTAGGACAACAATTTTTCAAACTTTATATCACTGATCTTTTTCTTCAGTTCTTTATGACATTTTTTATTAATTTTCCTAGATCAGTAATAGCAAAACATACAGAAAATAAGGTACTACGATTTTTCGGAGAACAAGAATTTGATTTACCTAAGCATGTATTAGATGTTGTTTATTTACAAACTATTTGCTGGCTTGGTTGTTTCTTTGCACCTTTGTTACCATTGGTGGCTGTGATCGGTACTTTCTTCTTGTTTTATATTAAAAAATTTTCTTGCTTAGTAAACAGTATTCCCTCCAGCAAAATTTATAGAGCGAGCAATTCAAACGCGCTTTTCATGTTCATTTTACTAATTTCATTTATTTTATCTACAGTTCCAGTTGGTTATTCCATTGCAGAGATGGTACCGTCAAAATCTTGTGGTCCATTTAGAGGTTTCAAGTCTGTATGGTCACTATTAATTCTGATGTTTGCTCACTTTCCTAATTGGCTTCAATCAGTTTTATACTTTTTTGGTACTGCTGGCTTTGGTGTACCAGCTTTTCTTGTTCTTACACTACTTTTATATTATTTTTATGCGGTAGCAGTAGCGAATAAGCATATGGTTACAGTTTTAAAGAATCAGTTGGTATTAGAAGGACATGATAAACAATTCTTACTAAATAGATTAAGTGCATTTATTAAACAGCAACAAGATCAGAATAAATATCATCAAGACCAGGCTAATGAGTTAGGAACATTTTCATAATTAATATTATGAAAACTGAAATAATTTTTATGTAGAAATTTTTAAAGTGCACAAATTTAGCAATTGTATGATATATTCATGTATATGTAAACTATATACACAGATATTCAAATTGATTTATTTACCTCTACTTTCCGCATGGTAATAAGACTGTTCAACTCGTTTAATCAATTGAATGATTGCTATTGAAAATAATTTAGCAAATTAGTATAATTAAGAAAAGTCAAGATACTTTTCAATCAATTCGTTTAATTTTAACTAATAAAGCAATTTGGAAGAATAAGAATGAAGAAAAAAAACACATTTAAGAAAAAATCAGGGTACAAAATGAACACTGTGCAATAATAAAAAAAAAAAATTGCAAAGTATTAACTATGTATTTGTAGTTTAAGGTACCACTAAAAGTTAAGATTCATATAAAGTAGCAGTAGTAAATGTAAAACCATTTTCTTTTTAATGTTATTTTGCATAGACTGCTAGAAAAAATAATTTTTTTATTTTTGTTCTTTACATCAACATGGAATATCATAAATTCACTTCTTGAATTTAAATAGGGTGCTTTTGCTAAAATAAAGTGAAGCGAAGTGATATATGATAGACCTATTTTTAGATTACCTGAGTATTAGAAGTATAATGTGATTGTAAATAGGTTTCTTTAGGTAAATCAAGAGATGTTTAAGAATAAGAGGATATTTTATAGTAGAATGTTTATTACATGTGTATCAAAATATTCATTAACCAAAAATTAATTTATACTTCTGTTTTAACAGATTTTATTTTTGTAAAATAAGTTTTGTTTATAATTTAATAATCTTTGAGATAAATTTATGAGATTTATTCCAATATACAAAGTATACTTACTGCCATTTTTGAAATATATATACAAATACATATATAGTCATTATATGAATAATAGACATTTTTTAATGTTTTTAATTTTAAAATATGATCATTGTTTTTCATTTGGGATAAGTTTTATCATCTTTAACACTGCCATTGTACATGAAAATATCATTACTCCAACTTTACCATCTATAAACAAATATGCATGTATAAAAAGTTTTAGTAAGAACTATGCATGTATGCAACTTTTTGCAAGTAAATATTGTAAAACTGCCAATATAGGTTACATAGTTTCAAGAAAGCATTTTATATGAATTTTATACAAATATAACTATAAAACAACTGCATATTAATGTCACTCTGAACACAGCTTTTACTAAGGACCACATTTCATTCATTATTACATTATATCTAATATTCTATTTCTCTGATGTCATTAAACCAGTATTAAAAATAATATATAGTATAATTAGTGGTATTATGGATAACAAGAATTCTTCTGTGCTAAAGGGGTAGTAAATGCTTTCATCTTCATTGAAACTTTTATACATTTATAAAAGTAAGAAAATGAATTACAAGTGTACTATTTACCCTATAAAAGACTGCACATTTTTGAAACAGCTTTCCTAATTAAACCAAAAATCATTTTTGATGTTTACAATATGTTATGTATAACAAGACTATATGCCTATTATAATAAAATATGGTTAATAAACTATAATGTATGTAAAATGTACAAAATATTTATTTTAATCTTTGTATTAGAATAGAAAAATCATTGTTTAGTTAATCATGTAACAATACTTTATATTTTTATGTTAAGATTTCTGTTTTTACTTATGATTTTGTTGAATGTAGCTGAAAGAAATATTTTATAAATGAATTCTGATTTTTTATACAAGAAAACATTTTATTTATTACTTAATAACTCACTGCTTCAGCAATATCAATCCAATCCATTGCTGCTGCTAAAGCATCATTTTTGGATGGAAGTTTATCATAATTCCAATAAGTGAAACATGAAAAAGTTCCTGTAGAATATAAATTCCGTTCTACATTTTCTCTCTCCGATTTTTTCTGTTCAAGAAACGTAAGACCTTTATATCCAGAAGGTATTACTATCTTTTTCCCTTGCAGCGGATGTCCACGAAAGGATGCATTATAGTCTATACACAAATAAAAAAAAAAGCTTCTTTTAACCTTAAATATAGTTAACGCGATATTACGTATCTCTAGAAAGAAATATAGTTTACAAAGCATGTAATTATTAATCCTCGTACAGTGTTCTTTAACCTACAATAAAAATTGTTATCGATGAACAAATTTATTAGTGACAATTTTAAAATTAGTAAACTTACGTTCGCCGTCTATGTTACGGATATAAGGAGTAAAATAAGAAGAAACATTAGCAGATTCGTCTCCATAAATTTTGCATGGCATTAAATGTAAAACATTCTCTTTTACTTCGGATAAATCATGATTTATATGTAAACGTATGGCCATGGTTAAACGGAAATATTTATACACCTTTTTGGCGGGAACTGGTTCGACCTTAATAACTATTTTTTCTACTAATTATGACATAAACGCAAGTCAGTATTTTTTATAATATATCATTTACAAGCTTATAAATAATATTTATTTATTAAATAATCATTTAATATATCACAATTGTTTATAAAATGTGCTCTATTTTAAACGTTCATTTGTTAAAATACGTAACGACGAAGTAATCCGCGACGAACATATTTTTGACTGCGGGGAATTTGTTGTTTCCAAAGTGACTAAAATGTTTCAATTAAAAAATACATGTTTCTGTATTTTTGCATAAGTATAGCTTTTTAGACATGTGATAAAACATGTTCAGTGGGGATAGCTCCCCACTATAGTTAAAATAAAGGAAGTGGGGATGAAAATTTACCACCGCCGCGCAACGCGCACTCACAGCGTCAGTTGCAGTCGATTGCCCGATTCGATTCGATCTTATGCTTTTCAATTCTCACTTCACGAAAATTTCGTGTGAGTGAAGAGTTTTCTCGCGAATAGAAAAAAAAGAAAATAGTGTGTTCGCGTGTCCTTGGTGTAGAACGAACCGTGTGATCGACAGCGTCGTGGGATTCTCCTTCTGGATAACGTAATCTTTTATTTGGCCAAAGATGAGTACGCCGGTAAAAAAAGTGCCCATTCACCTGCAGGTCAGTTAGAATTTTAGAATCCGATTATTTTATTTTTACCCTTTCTTTTCTATTTCCCTCTATCCTTAAGAAGGTTTCTTCTTCGCGTTTAATTATTATCACATTTATAAACTGCGTAAAATATTTCCTAGATGTAAATGTAGGTGGAGCGAAGACCGGCTTATCTACCATTTATGCAGCAAATTGTATCGTACACGATATACGGAGCACTTATGTCCTAATCCTATTTTAAATGAAATTTCCAAGTTATCTACCGATATTAATTGATTTCTGTACGAAAATGTACATTACGACCCTAACAGATCTCAGGCGTGTTCGACGATCGGTGCACTAACATTTAAAAATAAAAATAGAATGATTCGTAGAGTTATATCGAGTTAAACTGCACGCTTTATCTGTATTAAATAAAAAAGAAACAAACGTAATATCTACGGTATGATAAATAGAATCAGTTGACAAGTAATCGAGCGATAACGACTATCGCCGGCGGATAAATCGAATTTGGTATACTTATAAAGTAAATGGTGTCGGTAAACGGCCGTGATAGACGTCTGATGGACCGTGTGCAAATGTTAATCGATGCACAACTATCAACTAGAATTAATACAGCAACAAAACTGATCATCTTCTTAATTCGTTTATCGTAAATCTTTAACTGGAATAATATTTACTTGAGTTTCCTCATGCAATAAATTATTCAAGACCAATGGAACTGATTTAGTATCATGCAGAATAATCACTATTACCTAGGGATATATACGATTGTTTAAATAACTTATTCGCAAATATTCGTTGTTTTAAGTACAACCTAACGCGAAGGGGGTCATTGAACTAGCGATCAATAACCAAGGTGGGTGGCTTGTTTAACACAGTCGACAGTAATTAACAAGTAACATTGTATAACTTAGCATTAAAAAAATAATACATATCTAGTAACCTAGTTACCATAGAGTCAAATTTTCTATTTATCCCTCTGATTCACGAGTATCGTTAAATATAGATCACCCTTTTTTTCCCTCATAGCACCATACATTATAAACCGGTTAAATCGTCCTGTTGACACGCGAGTAGAGTAGTGAACTTGATTATCTAGCGCTCGATTCGCCAAACAGCCGTTATACAAATAATATAACGCGTTAATAGGAAATATTCTAAATGCAGGTTAGATCAGAAGCTGCGAACAGAATAGGTACGAATAATGAAACGTGAACCATGAATCGTTCCCATTATCCAGTCATCTAGCGAGCGAGATTAATTTGAATAATTAAGGTATTGTTATATTAGAGCTGAAAGTAAATAGACTCGATGGGTGTATCCGCGTTACTATTAAAACCGAAAGTTTCGTCGCATCATCCTAGTGATAGGAAGGTTGCTGCCTTATTGATCCAGGCGTCTTGGCGCTCGGCATCGGTCTATCTCGTACAAGGAGCCCACTGCAGCCACGTGAAAATAACGTTACATATATTACTATTATCACGAATAAAATTGAGCTAAAAACGAGATAAATGCATAGATTCAAAATAGATAGTGTAAGATGCATACGATGCATCAGGCGGTACTTTAGAGCAGATAACGCATGACGCATAAGGTGCGTCAGACGGTATTATAGGGGAAATACCGCAAGACGCATCAGGTGCGTCAGACGGTACTCTAGGGCAAATAACGCATGACGCATACGGTGCGTCAATCGATATCTCAAGACAATTATAACCAATGTTACAACCACTAATAGAACATTAAAATATACTCATATAGAAGTGGAATAAATGTTGAAAATCTCTGGAGATGAAAGTTTTTACAAAAATAATTCACCCCGGAGGACTTTCTCGGTTCCCGGACCCACAGATTAAGAATCCAACCTCTGCGCTCAAATTATTAACCCCGAGTGTGCTTCGACCGGTGGTATGTCGCGTACAAAGTCGATACCGAAAAGCCGTCGAGTAGGGGGCGGGGGCGAAGTGAAACACGAGGGTGGTTCGCGACGATAATTCGTGCTGTGAAAATCGTACGGCACTGCCGGCTAGGGCTTGGGTAACAGCGTCGAATCAATAGTTCGTCGACACGAAGTCTCGGGCCGAAGTCGGAAAAACCGTCGGGCTTGGATTTTTACTCGCGGGCGCACAATTCAGCCCGAGAGACAGAGGCGACTCCGTTTCCCGGCGAGCTACGGGCACGGCGCTCGGTTTCCGCGAGTAAAAATAAACGCGAATGTTGACTGACATTTTTGCGCGAGCCTTTCATCCCGATTAGAGGGGGCGTAGGTTTGATTTAGAGAAGAAGCCGCGGTGGAAAACGCGTGGAAGGGATTCTGTATACACACTGGGGCAGCGTTCTTTCGCTTAAATGGGGTTCGCGGTGGTAAGATTCAAAACTTTCTGGCCGGATCGCGTTTAAACAACGGGGAACGAGTGTCATCGTTGACTTCAGTTAATGGCTAACCGTAGACTTCCATACGCGACTAATTATAATTTTTCATTTTCAACTTTCACTGATTCGTTTTGGGGCCAATTGCGCGTCTGACTCCGCCACTAACGACAAAGTGATTCTAGGCGTGCTAGTTCGGCTCACCGAGAACTTGACGGCGAATTTAGTCGAATGGAAGTCGGTCAAACGAAATGCAGATTACTGGCATTATTCTGGTGGCATAAATAGACGAGAAGGGGAAGCCAGGTGTGACCCGGTGCTGCCGTTTCCGCGGCTGTTTATTCCGAATGGAAATTGGAACACGACGGTGGGTCGGTATTCCCCACCATTTTTTTATATTCAATTAAACAGGTGCAAGAATGATTTATTGGCTGATCGCGTTCTTTCAGGAGCAATGGCACTTCTGTATTGGGTGCCAAAACGATGGAATTAAATTAGAATATTTGATCTGAATTCCCTGTTCACTTTATCTATCTATGCTAAATGTATTAATTAGAAATATTTATGAATATGCATTCCTCCAATCAGTTAACAAAATGCATTTATTGCATTGGTATATTCGGACGACTGTAAATTCTAAGCTACAGTACCGTAAGTTGGAGTACAGTATGCTACGTGTTAGCTCAACCCCAATTCCTCAAAGAAAATGGCCAGAAGGTACGGCATTATGTAACGTTATGCAATTGCAAGTTTCATAAGTTGCATCAATAGTCGAATATGTCTGTAGAAAAAGAATTATCACGACTATTTGGCCAGCTAATAGACGACCAAAGCGGTGTCTCGTTAACCTTAAGTAAACGTTAGCTCAGTCCAGTGAACGAGATAGAAACTAGAGTTTCGCTCCTTAAAGGTAGGAAAATCCTTTTCCCAGTGTGAAAGCGGTCAATTATCATTTCTCTCGGAGCTCGTGCGGCGAACAGACCGGACGGTATAATTAAAAGAAGAAATCAGCTTTTAATTGGACCGAGCAGCGAGTAGAACGAAGCGATGGTGTTGCCCATGCAACCATAGCCGAATGCTTTACCCGACAATGTGTCTATCTAAATGAAGCAACCAGATGAGGAAACGAGATTCTATTGCGGTCGGGTTTACGCGATAAGAATAGAGTTCGTCAATTGGATCGAACTATCCAACCGATAAGATCTTTTATTTGGATAGTGTTCCTTACCCTGCACACGAATTCGAGTTGTTTGCGTGGCTGGAGAAACGATGGAAACATCGATTTTACCAGGAGCGTGTCTATGGGGATGTAAGATCCCATGGGGTTGCGGGTTTTGGTAGTAGATTTAGTAATAAGTTAAATAGAATCTTTTTCTTAACGAGATAATTTTCATCGGGGTGGAGAAAAAATTCTAGGTATCACTAAATTACAGTGGTAATTGAAAATTATAGGAAATTGAAGTTTAGGTTTAGGTTGATATTTAGGTACTAGGTACTTAAAATATTAAGTAATTACCTAGAATATATTAATATATTTAAGTTTCACTAGTAGTACCTAAGTAAGTACTATCCTTATTTTTGGATCTAGGGAATTATTACTAGTACTCTGGTATCTAAGCAAGTACCAGTACCTTAGTGTACAATATCAATCATAGTGTCCGTTCGTCTAGTGAAAAAGCACTGACTTTGGAGTTCAAGTTTAACCGCAGCAAATATCATAAATCTAATTATTTAATAAAAGTGTTAAAATAATTAACATAATCATCTGATAAAAGTTTTAGAATATTAATTAATTTATTAATATTAATTTATTAATATTTTATTAATATTAGAATATTTATTGAAATTACAAAATACATTAGATGAACAGACACTATGATTGATATTGTACCTAAAATAGATAGGCATATCTAGGTACTTATTAATACTTAAAATCTAAGTAGGTACTATTATTTATCGTAGGGATTATAAGTAGATATTATATCTACAAATAGCCTAGTTTAGATGAAGTACCAACATAACTATTAGCTACTGCTTGAGATAGGTACTTCAGGCACGCGTAGTCAAAAATACATTTCTTTTCTCCGGAAACTAGGACAACCTTCGATTGAAATGAAAAGAATCGAATAAAGATTGGATCTGGTTGCCGCAATTCACGTAGGCAGAGACCTTGTCATCCTCGCGGTATAGTTATTAGGCAGAGGCGCGAACATGTGTGTTTCATGTGTTTGAGATTTCTGCTTGGATATTTTCAGCAGACAG